GCTTTAAATAAACTTAAAAATTAGGCGACTTAGAAGCAATATCACGCGTAATACTGGAAAATTTTTTAAACCTATTTTAAAACTTCATGCTTTTATTTACAATTATTTCCTCTGCAACGTCTACTTAAACAATTTTGCTGCATAATTTTTACAGGTTTAGAACGATCCCTGAAATGAATTTTGACTGTGCCCAGGACAGGACAGGAAACACTTTGAACCTAGCTGAAGGGAAAATAAAACTGATGTTCGTTTGCTTTGTGATTTTAAAACTTGAAAAGTAAAGATATTAAAAACATGATTTACAACACGCGATCATCAAATGTACTGCCTCCATTTCAGTTTGAAAATTGAATTTATTGAAGGTCGTAAAAAATGAACCGGAAACCATATTTATCGGAAATACATCAGTGATTTTTCGAACTCAAATGAAAAAGACATATGATCTACTTGTTCTAATATCTGTCTTATAAAATTACAGTCGAATGAAAGCCTTAATCTTATTGTAGGCAGTTACAAAACTCTATGAATACCAAAGAAACGACACATTGGTTTTGTAAAAGCTAACAGATAATAAAAATGCTATTTCTTTTGTTCTCGTGAGTTGGTCTTTGTATTCACGACAAAACCACCCGATCAACGAGGTTCCTATTTACAAAGGATGCCTATGAAAGATGTCCTTGTTTCGAAAATTACATACTATTCAATACATGATAAGTATCTTCCTATGCAAATTAAAAAAAGTTTCTGTACCTAAGTAAGAGAAGAAACGGTTTCCGCGAGCACGTTTAACGCGCGCGGAAACGCGCCGGTTGAATTGGTTTACTTTGTGCTGGCGTGGACACCTCACTTCATCAAAACCTTCTTTAGCCGAACCTTGAAGGAAAATCGTAACCGAATATGTCACTCAGAAAACCATAATTTCGTAGGCGAGATGGAGGAAAACGTCTAATCTAGTGTGTAAACACTGCACTATTCTCTCTCTCATATTTCATATGAATTTTCATTGATTTGATGAACCAGGATCAAACTGATAACTTTTTTTTTCTATTCACTGCATTCTGGCCCATGAAAGTCCAAGTTCCAACAATTTTCCGTTCGCGCCATTCAAAGATGGCTTTCTAAATTTTGAGCCGTGGTCTGTAGCGTTTGTAAGATTAACCTGAGATCAGGCTCCTTTATATGGAATAAATAGAAAAAAACAAAAGGTAACAGAACTACAAAAAGTGTCGCAACGGGATTGAACTCGCTATTCAAGGCTCAGAGAACCGTTTCTTGAAAGTACCGGTAACCGGTAAACATTGCGGGCCTGAAACAAAATTTGAGAGCAGTAAAGAAAGTCTCATCTCAAAAAACCGTTTCATTCCTTCTATCCTCGCGATTATTGTTATCAATTATTGTGCGAATTTCAAAACTATCGACATCTCTGTCTGCTATGAAAACGCGACCAACAATAGTGAGCTTTTCGGGCAAGTTTTTGACAAACGGGCCCCAGGTTCCCCAGTTATGTGGCCGTTTTCTCCACCAAGGAGCCTGGTTCGGGTTACTTTAGAATTGCGTATTGGACGATATGTGCTTAATTTTTACAATTTTTTTTGTATAAGTGCAGCTGTGATTTTGAGGTTGCCAGTGTGAGTAAAGCCCGAGTTAAAGTTCTTCTTTCGCCTGTAAGTAACACCTTTTACGCAAGCTATTTTTGCAGCGCGAAAGAAGTCAGAAATCAGACTTTAAGAGTTCAGTGAAGGTTTCAGGCAGATGAGAGAAATCAGTACTCCAAATCAGATTCTGTGCGTCCATGTAACTACATGCTATTCCCCGTGAGCTAAAAAATATGTTTCCTTGTCCCACAGTCGGCACGACGAAAACGATTTCAGTATATCTTTATTCCGCGACCAACTGAAACTCAACATTTTACTACCTTAACTCTTACTCTACTTACTCAAACAAAGCTTACCTGACTGCCGATCCCAGCAGCGTGTGGAACATATTGATGGCCAAGCTCACCGCATATCTTTTTTTGCAGCTCAGGAGTTGAGCGTCCGAGCGCGAAACCAGATAAGTTTTAAATAATATATTACGACCATTTTTGCCTTTACTTGAATTCAAATCGACTCAAAATTATTTAGTTCTTTGTGATTTAAACTGAGCAAAAGTTTATATTCTCTTGAACTTTTGTTTCCACAATGCAAAAAACAATAAAGAAAAAAAAAATTATACTTTTCTGAGTGATTTCTTTGAGATGGCTTAGCTAAGAAGCCTTAATAATTGAAATTACAGATTTTCTGTCTCGCTTTTCCAGTTTTGGTAAGCTGCTGAGTCAGTCCTGATCCAAATTCACCATGTGCAAATTTACACGATCCACGCTCAATAACACAGCCCACGCGCGATGTCAGACGGCACGTGCGAGAACGTCAAAACATTGCGTGTTTGCGTGCCTCAGTCTCTGTGACCCTGTTATAACAGTATGGGTGAGGGTTTTAGCAAATTCGCCAGTACTGAGAAATATTCCGCGCATGTGATGATGCACAAGGAAAAATTCTGGGAAAAATACTTAATTTTCACAAACTTTTTGTCTATAACATCCATTACAACATTTTTCTGCCGATGAAAACATGTTCGACGAAAAACATTAGAAAACGAAAATGTGAAGCATGTTTTCATTTATTTCATTTTCGAAAACGCGTCATGTGTTTTCAATATTCGATCTATTTTCACAGATTTAATCTCTTTCAACTTGTTTCTAATGGCAAGATCTTTCTGCTGATGTTTACGTCCTTAATACACACCAGCTGGAAAAATCGGTTTATTTACCATCCATAAATGGCAGTTTCACTTAAATCTTCCGAAAAAGAAAAACACTCTGGTAAATTTACATACGATATCAAGTTTGAATTGGAGAAAATTATTCCTGGCGGTTGTGTGAGCGAGGGACAGCTTTGTTCTTTACGCAAGTCGACGAAAATCGGAAATCACCTTTTTTCGGCGCAATAAGCTGATTTAGACGGGTAGAGAACATTTCAATAGATCATTTACCGGCGTCTACAAGAAATTCAAAAAGGTTGTAAATTGACAGCCATTCTCCGTTTTTTTCTCTTTTTAAGACGAGCTATGAACGAAAGCGGCATGTCCGAATACCATGTAAGCCAACAAAGTTTGGGTCCGAAAAAAACCACGTAAATATGGGCCACTTTGTTACAGACAAAAACAATTATTTGATACAATTCTCCCGCTGTTTATTTCATAAACAAGGTCGCAATTTCTACTCTGATTGGCCAGAGTTATATCAGCGTGTTATTTCACATCGACGCAGTACATAGACAAGCTATTTATTACCGCATAAAGCAACAAAACTCAATTTAATCGCCACATTAATTTCACACGCGAAGTGAGTGCGATTCAAAATTAACAAATAATCCTTAGCATCAGAAAAAAAAAACTACCTTGGCAGGAAGGAGAGCAGAACGGACACCAGAATACCGCGATAAAACTCTACTGGAGTTATTAAGCTTTCTTTTCTACATATGAAGTGTGTTCTTTTTATCAAGACATAAAAATGTCATTATTTCGGCAAAAAGGCAAACTGCAACACTGGCGATTTACAAGAAAACGCCATTTAATTAAATTACACCGCGGACACTATGCTGAAAGGCACAAAAACCCTGAAAACTAAGCCGTTGGAAAATATTGAAAATCCACACTGTTTTTTTTTTTTTCGAGAAAAAAATCAGCAAGAAAATCACATTTGATTTCAACTAGTTTAGAATCACTAAAAGCTTTGAAACAACGCACTTGGCGACTTGTCTTAGGCAATAGAACCACCAGGAGAATGACAAAACGGGTTTTTTTCTTATTACTATCTCACAGGCGTTTCAATGCAGCTGGACAAAACCACGTGTTTTAAAAATGTAGCAAAATAAAAGTTCCATCTTTTTAAAAAAAGCGTTCGACTTAAAAAAAACTTGGACCACGACAAGCAAAAGAAGTCAATACGAAAAACACTCGAATAGCTCTCGCATATCGATTTAAATGCTTTGGTTGAGTTTGAAAATAACCACGAGCCAAGCAATTGGAACTAACAGAAAAGCAGCTGTAGTTACATATATGTAGATCTCCTAGCGCATTTGACCACGGAGTGAAAGAGAACCTTATGAAAGTTTAATTTTAGTAAGCAGTTGACTCAAGTTATTCCATGCTAATGTTTTCTACTCAGAATTAAAAGCGATAAATCTATGGCAACGAAACCTCGCTAAAACCAATGCTAAACTCCGCCAATGCTGAACATTGCTGGAGCTCCGAGCGTTTTGTGGCGCTAGGTAACGTTGTGTCACTGAATGGAATCTCGACTAAAACCATCGTGTTTCTCTTTGAATTTACTGCAACGATCTTATCTAGTCCCAGACCAACACAAAAGCATCGACTTTTTAAAGTAACGTGACGCTTTTGCGATGTTCTTAGAAATTTCGATTCAAGAACGTGAAAAGCGCTTCTAAAAATTTGAAAGAGAGACGAATTTACGGCCATGGAACGAGAAAAAAACATTACACAAAAGTTCATTAAGTATCGTACCAGAAGTTCGGTGGAGCGATAGACTCGATCATGATTGGTTGGCACGCAGAGACATTTAATTGTTAACCGTGCAAACTCGCGTCGCCATTGGACAAAAACACTTGTGTTTATGATCCATTGTCTTATCGGCCGTTACAGGTGAATTGTGCCATTGTAATGTTGGTAATTTATAGTTAGCGCCAGAAAGGAAGCTCTTTCACTCATTCGCTTGTGAGCGAAACAACGGTCGCGCCAAGAGTACGCTACAGGATTTGGAGGTAAAAAATATATCACCGGCGAAATTTTAGAGGTATGTAAGGGCATAAATTCGTAAACAATTAATTTTCTAAGCGTGAACCTACTTAAAAGCGACAGTATCGTGGGATGTAGCTGGTCTTAGCTTATTTACGACTGCTTATTTCCTAGGACTGCTATAAGCCCCTGCAGATTTACGCAAAATGTTCAGCAACGAGAGTACGGACGAGAAACAATTGCAAGACTTCAGAAGTCGTGAAATGAGAAGTCGTGTACGAAATTACAAAAAACAGATGAAGACGCTGGAATATTCACGGCTTCGTTCGCTGGTTCCTTCTACAGCCTGCCGGCCTCGTGTCAGCAAGGTACGAAACTTTTATGTCAGGCCTAGATTGCTAGCTTCTATCACTCATATAAAAAATTTAAAGACCAACTCAAAGTTAAAACTTATTTTTTTTTAGATTGAAGTAATAGAGGAGGCGATCAAGTACATCGCGTTTCTCCAAGCTACACTGAGCTCTCGCTTGGAAGAAACCAACGAAAGTAAGTTTGAAACTGAAAAACCGCCGGAAATCCATCGCATTGAATCGTGCGCACATTTTAAACTTGAGTGATTTTTTTCTCTCGCAGACAGTAACAGTCAAGGGGCAGAAGAGCGGACAGACAGCGAAAGAAAACCGAAAATTCTCAGGCAAAAAAGACAGCGTTTCGCTTCATATATGATTAAAACCCAAAAACACACCGTACCAGCGCGACGAAAATTTTCAAGTAAGTCTGCAGAAATCTGTGTTTTTCTTTCCGTTGTTTGAGAAGTTGAAACCTGGGGACTTTGCGCGTGCTTACAGCGCGTTTGGGCCGAGGATTTGCGCATTCGAAACTAAAATTTCGAGGATAAAAATTGGGTGATTCGTTTTCTTCATCCGGTAGTTGGGTTGGAAAATGCAGCTGCACATAAAAACAACATATGTCCCTTTGAGGCTCACAGCACCTGGCATTTGCTACAAAATAAAGTTCCCTTGCGTTTTAAATAAATCGCTCCAAATTCTACCAAAAAGATCCTAGCTTAAAAGCTAGCTCAAAATCTACGCTTTGAAAAATGTTTCGTCAGTTTCCTTGAATTTCAAGGTAAATTTAGACAAGTTCACTGCCGTCTCTAAGTAACCAATTCTGGCTAAGGACGTATTCCAACCCTCGAACATGGAAATAAATATTCCAATATTATATTATAACCTTTCAACTTATTAAAATAAAATCTACAATTTACATATCACTTCGAAAGGAAATTACGGCCTGTCTAGTGAATTTTCTCCAACGCAGCTACGGGGTTGAAATAAAAATTCCCAACCCGCACGTGAGGGATTTTTTAAGGGGGTATCAACTTTGCCAATGAAAAGAAATGAAGAATAATGCAATTAAGATTCAGCAGCACCCTGGGAAAATTTAGAGAGTACAAAATATTAATACGCTCATTTATTACACATTATCTTGTCTGAAGAGTAAACAATTTCTTGCTATTAAAAATGCGACATTAGAAAGCTTTTATCTATTTTAAAAATGTCTCTTTCTTTTAATTTTTTTCAGGACAAAAGACAACAGAAAGCGAACAGCCAAGATAGAAGAGCCATTGTGTGTAACAACGGTGGAAAATCGACTACGCAAGAATAAAACTGGAAGTTATATAATAAAAGCTGCTCGCTTGAGATGGAACATTTTTTCCCAGCGCTGTGCAGCTCACTTCAGTGCTGATGTACTGATTGGTTTTGAATTTAATTGTAGCATTTGCGTAGCTAAACCTCAAATTTAAATACATCGTGCGAAGATGCAGGGCCGAAATTCACTGTTATGGAAGTAAGCGCCGAAAAGTACAAAACACTTTAGGGAAAAAACTGTTGAAGTTTTTTAAAACGAAAACCAGGAAAAAAAGATTTTTAGTATCCCTAAATCTAATAACTTCCTAAGACTTCCTTTTCAGAAGAGCTCTGAAAGAACCTTCAGCAAATTTTTCTTTCTATTAGTTTTCTACGTAAATGCAAATGAAAGGAAACTGAAACAGACCGTCACGTGGTGAAATTTTTTTTCGTGTGTGTCACGACGGTGCGTGTGAATGCGTCAAAAGTTTTGCTAAAAGCTGACACCGACAATCATTTCACATAAGCTTGCTGTTTTTAGTTTTGATTACCGTCTCAAGAACTTATCAATGATCACTTCTGGTCCATCTTCAACAAGCTGAAAAAAAAAATTCAAACTTCTGTTCCGCAACTAGCTCAAGTGGGTTACAATTTTGCTTTCCGAAAGGAAGTCTTAAGAACGGCCAATGCACGCTGAAACATTAAAACACATCATTCATTAGCTGGAAAATTCTCCTGTTATAATTTTATTTAAGAAGGAAGAGGGAGGGAAAATAACAAAGACGAAACATTCGAGATGGTTGTTCAGTCAGTTTTTCCCCTTTTCCTTTTAAAACAAACGGAACTCGAAACACTGCAGCGGAACTAATGTATTTATAGCTATCTAAGGCAAAGACATAATAAAATCTTTGAGGCATAACGAAAAGAGAGTTGTCAATGTTATATGCCGACCTAACAAAGAGCTTCAGTATCACTAACTTATTTTTTCCTTTCCACGGGGTCCTCGTCGTAACAATGATTTCTTTTTCGGTATATTACGTCGATTTATTACCGTTTTGATTTCATGAGATATAACCACGCTCTCTAGTTTCGAGGTTTCCCTTTTTCGGCGTTTTAGTATTAAAATAAACTCACCACAAGTCAGACATCTGCAATTTTTAAAGAGACATCAAACTTCTCGACTCAAAACGAAAAAGTCACCAGATTCATAAAATTCACCGAGTTAAGATCAAAACAATACAAAGGTCTTCAAACGATCAATAGGACAGACATCTCCGTTCTCTTCGTTTAAGACGAAGTCAATTTTCTCGAGAAAGAATATCGTAAGTGTTGAAAAAAACGCGTTAACAACGCAAAAAGCGGGTGTTCAAACCAAGCCGATTTTTTCAGAACGATGGTGCGTTCGTGTTTATAAACGCGTTTAAACCGCAATTCTAATCGCGAGTGAACACGACAACACGTTTTGAGCAGCCGGTTTACAAGAAGAAAACGCCAATGCGCGATAATTTGCAGAGAAACATGCGGGAATAACACATGATCATGATGCCAATCTAATTCTTGTTAATAAGTACATGAGAAAGAGGAACTTCGTCGTGTAAAGAACCTCTTTAAAAATCATTCAGAACCAGAACAAATACCAGGCGCAGAAAACGAACACAACTAAACAGTCTTTGACCAAAATTTTATTTTAGAAGCCACAATTACCTTTCCTTGGAGGAGCACTTCTAAACGAAGCTTAAACTATTTGTTGCAGTAAACGATAGGAAAGTAACTAAGAAGTCAACGAAGTTGTAAACCCCATCAACTGCAGACTTTGGTTTCGACTCCACTTCTCAGATTCTCCAGAATGCAATCAGATTCACAGTCATGTGACAATCTTCCTGTCACAGGTATGTTTCGGTTTTGATTCATTACCAGACTTCCTCATCCACCGCCTGGAAAATTCCGGTCTTCACTCACTTGAACCTCTGGACAATGACGGCATTTAAGAGATTTGCTTCAGAGAGTTTCTGCGTTTCATCCGATAGCTCTTTGTTAGGGAACGTCGTCATAAGAACAAAGCTCTGCGTTGCCATTTGAGGCCTTGATCTGTGTATCAGGCGTGTTTGGTTAAGGAAAATTAACCCTTTCACTCCCAAGATCTCATAAGTTATTCTCCTTACTGTCTACCATACAATTCTTAGTTCGGAGAATTTGGTATCGAATCAACAAATAATCCCCTGATTGATATTTTTCTTTATTTGCATCATTTGTTTACTTAACATCATATCATTTTGATATTGTAAGGAGAAATCCTGTCTTGGTCACTTATGGAAGTTAAAGGATTATTTCTTTGACTCTCAAGGGCGATCAGTGTCTCTCAAAGATCCCGTTACTACATCAAGAAACGAGAAAAAAGGGGATGAGAGACCTTAAGTCACTATATTACAAGGAGTCATACAGCAATCTACAACACGACGCTGCTGCTAAACTAGCCTAAGAACTCTTTGTTTGAATCTCGAAATTCAAGCTCTGAACAGACTGGCAGATTATTAGTCGCAAAGTTTGACAAAATCCAACTGCGGCCTAGAAGATCTGGCTACGATTTGTAAAGTCTGTTGACTCAAAAGTTGTTTTCTTATCTGTGCGATCACGTGGTTGTTGCTCAGTTTTGGAAAAGAAGAAATCTAGCAGGCATTAACGTGTCCATAAAGAGATAAAAGCGCCTTCTTTTTTAACGTTATAACAAATAATCATATTCTCTCCAGATTACACAAAGTGATGCGGAGAAATACGTATTGAGAATAAAGAGAATTCTCGACTGGGGAGTATTGAATTAATGTTTACCAAAATTTTCAGGAACAGATACGCGTAACCATTTAGTAGATCTTATAATGTTATAGTATATTCTTGACCAAAGGATACGCACAGATAAACTTCCGAATATCTCCAACTGTATGTGAGTGGTTGAATTTTGAGACCATACTGCAAAAGAAAACATTTCCGTCAGAAATTTTACACCGTAGCTTAAAGTAATCTTTGATTAGTCATTGTGTGTGTGGTAAGCGAATGTGGTCATATTAGAAGGTCAAATCAGATTTTGAAAACCAGAGTATGTTCCTCAAGGAAATGTTATTTCGTTACAACTGCGAAGAAACTGGAACTGAGAAAAAATTGAAAACCGACCTACACAAAGGAAAATGGGGGTAGATGAATCAACAAATAATCCTATTATGGCGGAGAAGGAAAATTAGAGGCCAGAATGCGAAATGGCAGGAAATGAGTTGAATTGACGACCGCGTTTCTAATGCCAAGAAACAAGTGGAAATTACGGCTACGCCGAAAATGGAGGAAGAAGTGGAAACAAACACGTGGCCTGCATGACAAGAGTGCGGAAAGGGGGGGGCGGCGGCGAAGGGGAGGGGGGTCAAATGAAAGATTCACAGATCAGTCCATTGCTTTTATGCCGCTTTAGCATTACTTGGAAATCACTGATAAAATTAGGAAAAGAAACACTTTTCTGTCAGCGGAACCGGTGATAAGCCTTCTCTCTGAACGTCCATATAATCGGTTTCGTTTACTTTGCCTCGCATTCTTTTGAGACAACATTGCTGCGAAAGTTAACCACAATTACTAGGAGAAGCCTGTTGTCAATGTTGACATGATTCCGACAATTTTCGTAGATCACCGAATAGGCTCGACTATTCCAACAACCTCTGGTCATAAGGAAAAAACAAAGTGTAACATATTTTCACATACCGCGTTCCATCAGCCAATCTAATCTGTATGCTGGTTACCGGCTGTGATTGGTCCAGTGGACTTGTTGCCATTGGTTGTGGTGTGCTGGAGGAAGACTGGGAGGCACGTTGTTCTGTTGAATGACTGGACTTCACGTCTGGAGCCGGGCTGAAAGATAAAAAATAACAAAGAACAATCATTAGTGCAAGAATTTGCCGGTGTGGAAGTGGTAAAAATCGGAAGGATCAAACGAGGATGAAGAAACTAACGAGGCACTAGACGAAAATAAGATACAGATTGTGATCAAGAGAACAAAACGGACCAAAGAAGGAACAAAAGACGAGGAAATGAAAGAGCGAAAGAAAGAGGCCAACATCTGAAACAATGGAACGGAAAAAAAGGCAAACAACTCAAATAATACGAGGAATTCTTACACGTAAGTGAGTAAAAAGTCCTCGCACAAAACACAGTTGAACTATGAATGATAACCAAACTGCTTGAAGAGCTAAAGTGAACTGGGAAGAAGACACCAACCTGCCTAATTTGTGCCCTGTTCCTGAGAATGCTTGGAGTTTAGGTTTGGGTGGAGGGACATACTCTTCATGTCTGTGATCTTCCATATTAACGTGCACTTCTCCTTTTCGGGACAATCTTAATAACTCCTGTGGAATTTCGCTGTGAACAGGACGCATGAAAAATGTCTTTAAGTCATTAAATTCAAAAGAGCCTTTGGATCTTAAATATAATCTAAACCGTGACTCTTGATGTCCTAATTCTTTACTAGCATATTCACCGTGGTGAATATGCTAGTAAAGAATTATTGTTTTTTCGCGATACAGTCTCTTCTAAATGGATGGCGACGTTCGACTGCGTCCTAATGGTCTCGTTTGCAGAGTACAGCTCATGTGTTTTACCCGCGCTTGACGCGCGCGCCGCTCCCACGCACTAGACGCGAGAAACACTCACACGCACACTACACGCATCTGCGTGTACGTGTATCAGAAAAATGCACGCAAGAATGTGTAAAATGCGGGTAAATTACACGAAATCAGTCAATTAGAACTCATTTAATGCGATTACTGAAACAAACGTGCGCGTACAAAGAAAAAAATTGGATCTTAATTCGTCATAATATAAGATTTCTGACGAGAATAGGCGAGTCAGTGCACTTTGTTGGGTTCCTTCCAAATTGAAAATGATTGTATTTTCGTACCCTCGTCTGACAGAATCCAGGAACTGCTTGTTAGCTGGATCATCAAACGACCTCAGAGGTCCATCATCCACTGAAAATCCATTAGACCAGAACTTTAAAGCGACTTCTGTCTACAAAGGATTGTACAACATTGTGAAACAACTCTGCGAGTATATATCAGTACAAAAAGAGGACAAAAGTTGATTTCTCATAGAAAACGTGGGCCAGCAAAATGAGTTTTTAGTGTTTGAGGATGTCATTTTAATTTCAATGAAATAAATTTCATTTAATCTATGGATGGACGTCGAGTGTAGCCAAGATCCTTGCAAATGAGTTATCTTTTGACATTTGCAACACAGTTTAGTTGCCATTGTCATTAAGGAGCAGTAGCCAGTGAAAGGAGGTTGCATACGTGAAATTTAAAACTATCAGCTGAGACAAAAAGCAAGGGGCTGTTAAGAATAAGTGTACATAATAGAGAGATGGTTGTCAGTGCAGGTTCCGCACTGATTAGTAAATTCATAAATACAAGTTTGTTGATGATGTCTTACAGGTTGTTGTGGTGCATCTGCCCTGAATGGTAGTGTTTCAGGGAGGGGCTGTGAACTGTCCCCTTCTGTATCTCCAAGACGGTAACCTGCAACAAGATCAGAACCAACCATCATCAGAAGAAGGGGTAAGTCTAATACAATCATACATCATAAATTTTTGGGAAAAAAAGAATTCAGTGTTTCATCTTCTCACAATAAATTATTGTTGTCTTTGTTGGATAGGGAAAAAAATTCCACCTGGAGAAAGGGGGATACCCTTAACCTCTCCATTCACCTTTTTTTTTTCCTGGAAAGTATTTTTGTTTCTTTGTAAATCAGAACAAAATGAAAACCATTGACACAGCCAAAATTACCTTAACTACCAAATGACATTTTACCTTGTCAATAAAAATTGATATTCATGCACACTCAACATCAAGTTATAATTGAACATGAAGGCTTAGCAAATGATAAGATGCCTCCACTCCACCTTACTCATGAGGTGAGTACACTGCAGGCTTTTTTCACATTAAGACCTTTTACAAAGAATGTATGGAAGCTGAACGGGGAAATTACTTATCATATATTAGGATTTAAATCTTACCTGCACCCTTAAATACAGGCTGGTGCCTGGCTCCTTGCCTACCAACTACATCCTCGTCAGCAACAACTTCTGCTCCATGTCTACAAGAAAAATAACAGTTCATACCTTGGGTTCTATCAAGAGAGGAACAAAAAATGGCACAGCACAAACCCACAGCATCCACATAACACAAAAAAGAGAATGAAATCAAAGAAGCTAATATTTACACCTTCTACCCAATGGGGCCTTGTAACATTTTTTCTGTTGCAGTATAAAGAGGGAGATTTATTAGAGAGCTCTTCCTTACTGAAATGTATATACAGAAGTCTATTGACTTAAAAGTTAACAAAAGAGAAATCTCTGCTATAATCAAGAAAATAATTTAAAGCATCAGGATTTTGAATCCTATTCATGTTATGCACATTCTCTCCCAACAAGTGATTATCATACAACTTTTCCCTACAATATCCTATCAAATAAATATTTAAGGGACTTCATAGTAACTGGAAAAATCAGAAATGTATACTAGTCAGATCTTGACCTTTGACTCCCCAAAATTCTGCAATTAAAAATGACCAAAACTGTTCCACTTTACTATACTTCAAGCCTCTGGCAACTTTTTTATAATGATTGTAAAGCCATACTAATTCTTCATTAATCAATTTGGTACATTAGATGTGATTGAATTTAATTTACTAAATATCAATTGAGATGAATTTATTTACAAATTCACCTCTTTGCATCATCAAATATGCCCTGAGTAATATCATTCGATGTTTGTTTCTTTCTTGGTGGACCAAGAATTTGCTGTCCACTGCAAAGAAAAACAAAACAAAACAAAAATTAGATATATGTTCATCTAATTATTGAAAATGACAACTAAATAGACAAAAATAAATTGTTGGGAAACATTGCATTTCCAACTGACAAAGTTTGTAAATCACTGATGTTTGTTCATTGTTGTTGTAAATTAAAATAAATGTGTTGAATCAAATTTCCAGCCAACTTATACCCTTTGACCCTAAAGAGTGACTGGCATCTTATATCTCTTAACAACATCACCCCTGAATAACACATTAAGGTTGCAAGAATAAAGGAAATGATCAATAGAAAAGCTCTTGATTGTTTGACAAATTCTCCTTATCAGCACCCTTAGGAAATGTACAGAGAACAGTATGGAAAAATGCATACTGATGCTAGCATGTAAATGGTTAAAAACCATCCTACATCTTAATGAGTAACAGTCCATCAGTCTATCTTTCCTTGCCACCAAAACATCTGTCCTCCTGCTCTTCTCGTGGCCTGTGGCATGTCACAGGGACCCCTACCTTGTGTCTGAGCCTCCAGCATAAAATGCTTGTCCTTCTTCATCATCACTGTCAGCATTTTCTGTTGCTTGCACGCTTGAAAGGGAAGCAATGTTTCGCCTACAACATAAAAACTCTTACTTTTAGTTTATTTAAACATTTTGAGCAGTGATCACCTACAAAAACCTTAAAATTTATATCTAGTGTTTCATTGATAAAGCAGCTCTTACATAAAGGTACTTTTAAATATAAACAGGCAGTTACTTGTGACCTTAAAACTAAATTTTCACCACATGATGGATTATCACACTCTCTAAGACTTCACTATAGCACTACACTGATGGCGACAAGCACTTGCTGATAATGATCCCTTTAACTCCCATGAGTGACCAAAAGAGAACTTCTCCTTACAATGTCAAACAATATCAAGCAAAGAGGTGATGAGAATAAAAAAAAATATCAATTAAGGGATTATTTGTTGATCCAATACCAAATTCTCTGGGCTAATATCATAAGAATTGTTTGGCAGACAGTAAGGAGAATTACTAATGAGATTTTGGGATTGAAAGGAATAACATGCAATAAATGGTTATTTTTCAGCTTACCCTGTGGGAGTGTGCTTTGATCTGGTACTTGGCTGCTGCAAAAGGAAGTGGATAATATGACTGAAATATTATATTACCACAAAGATTATTGGTTTGAGAGGTACACATTTAGCCATCATGCTTTGCAGCCAACTGACATTCTTTTAAAATGATGATCTTGCTTTTGATTGACTTCACTACACTCACCTAAAAAGTATGTTTCCTAATATGGCCTAAAAAATTTCAAACCTACTAAAAGCCCACCACAGTGGAGTCTTCCAAGGCTTGTATCTAGACTGGTTTGTGTAAATAACCCAGTGCACTATTTAAAAAATTTCCATCAATTTTACAGTTTTGTCTTGTCTCTTTACCAATGGCTCATAACTTTTCAAGTTGTCTACAGTTAACATTGTGTCTGATTTTTTGAGAGAGGCATTAAACTACTCCAAAACTCTTGTATATACCTCCTGGGCTTGTTCAGTTTCAGCCCCTATGTTCTCGTCATCTTCTCCCATTGTGTCATAAAAACTACTAAGAGCAACCTGTAAAAAAATAAAAAGCTGTCCACTGCAACTTGCTGCAGGTCATGCTGACTCAAATGAGTGAACATGAATAATGTTCTTGATTTATTTAAACATCCAAGGCCTCATCATATCATTGTTTTTCATTTGCGTCTATGGTGAGAAATGGAACTTCGTGCTAAAAACAATTTTTTGATGGCCAAGTCGGCTTGTCGGCTGAGTTAACGACGGCCGGCGGACTTGACTAAAAAACTGCCGCCAAGCCACTCCATTTAAGCATTTCCTGAAGTGGCTGTGTATTCTAAAGTTTTGCCTGATTCACTTTCTGTTCATTACAAATGATGAAATATTGACATCCTAAAGAAGGAAGTGCTAATGATATGTAAAACAAACTGAAACCACGCTAAAACAAACTCAGTAACATATAAAAAAAAAGAACAGATCAGCTTTGTTACTCACATGAAGATCCCAGCCGGATGATTCTAAATAAAACTGTGCGCGTTCAGCGTCAGCATCAGTTACTCCGGAAAATTCAGCGACCATCCGATTTCTTTCTTCGTCCGCCATATTGAATAAAGGATCACGTGTGATGTAAGTCTGGAGACTGGGCACCAATCAAGAGAACCCTTCCCTTCGACGTCAGCCCACCCCTTAGACTTGAGTTTCCTGTGTTTTCCAATTACTCTGATCATATCGCTGGATCGCAGATTTAACTTGGCTGTTTCAATGCCACGGGCTAAATAACGACATAACAGCGATCTGTCACGTGTAGGAAAACGTATCTGAGATGATCGTGGCAAGAACGTGTTCTGGGTTGTGAATCAGAAGTTAGCGATCGTTGTTTTAGTTAGGAACATTGTTGATTCTCAGACAAGCGCTCATATAACCCTGTTCAACGATGAGTCGTTCCAATCCGAATCAACTGAGGTATATCAAGGTTTGATTTTTGTTAATTACTGTGTGATCACCACTAATGATTTCTGTGTAATTTTCTGTCATTTCAGTTGTTATTTGGGTCGCTTGTCACGTTCAGAAACTGATAAATTGTTGTTGGGAAGGAAGCCTGGCACTTTTCTTATCAGAGACAGCTCGTCGATTCCCGGAGACTTCGTTCTTGCCGTAAGGTATCTGACTCCAGAAACATATTTTTCATTGTTTCCATGTCATTCTTCAAATGATTTTAAACTCTGATCGCGAAGCTCTCTTTTACCGGAAGGGTAATATACGCTTACTTAAGCAATCTTCATATTCATACACGCTTGTGGTCTCATAAGATTCCATCACAGAGCAAGTTTGTACAACGCGGTCAGTGAAGTTTCCTCTTTAAACAAAGTTGACCACACGCTCATTTGCAGCATGATCAGAGTTTGATCTCACTAAATCACATGGTAGATAGTTTACAAAACTAAACTGTACGTCAAAAAGCTAACTCTTAAAACGAAGGTTGCTTTTGACACAATCCAGCGTTCACCGAAAAGGTTCATCTACAAACATAGATCACTATTTATTTCGCTGTATATACATCAACTGTATTAGCCCTCTTGTTACCTATTTGTGAAACCTTCAGACAAATATCTTGTTCCGGAATTTAGTGACCGCCACACTGTGGTGCCTGTTAATTTGTATCTATAAGCGAAAGTGTAATTGACTAATATTTCCATTTTGCGATCTGGAGTAATATGGACAGCCAATTGAAAGTGCAAGTCGATTTGTCAGCGCTAAGTAGCACTTTGTCAACACAACTGATGACTTCCATTAGCAATTTCACGTAAAAAATCTCTTCGAAGACAATTTTTTCCAAGAAACACAGTAAATTTTTGCTGTTGGAAGCACTTCTACAATTCTTTATATTGAAGGATAGGTTTTGCTAAACAGGAAGTAATTTAATGCAAATACTAATGACAAGATGAGATAGTTATGTATTTCCATAATGTTTTTTAATAGAATTCTTTTGTTTTATGTCAAGAAGTTGGTCTACATGAGATTGTTTTAACAACAATTGGTCATATGAAAAAGATCTAGGGAAAAATTTTTAGGCTGATTATTTTAATGGTACAATTTTGGAATCTCTCTCAAGTGTTCCAAATACCATTACATTTCCTCATTGGATGCATTTTAATACATCAGATAAGCAGCACTTGAGTTGCTATTGCTGTGCATGATAGAAAGTAGTTCAGAGCTTTAGAAGGCTTTGCACATGTGGCCATTAGGGTTTTGCTTGTAAGTTTTTGAGTGTGAGTCTGGCAGAAACTGCTATATGCTAATGTAAGAATTAGGAATCCTACCTTGTTGAACACGAGAGCTTGAATTACCAGTTTGGTTGTAAATGAGGAGTTCAGATTTGCAAAGAGTGGTCTCCCTTTGTGAATTAATGTTTAGTGGACAATAAAATTAAAAAAAAGAAATGAAATTAAATGAACAAAGAGAAAGTCAAGTGAATGGGGAATTTATGCGCCAAATATTTCTGAGAATTAAAGGGATAAAAATTAGAAAATGAAGCTGTTTTCTTGTTAGAGCATGAGATTCTCAGAAGTATCACACTGAACTTCCAGATGTATAGCAATCTTACAATATTGTCTTTTAAGGTAAAAATGAATGCCAAAAAATACAGATACATGTTGTTGTCCCATTTCCCCTGATCAAATACTCAGAGTACATGAAATTTTATTTTTCAGTGAAGGTGGAAAAGTCAGCCATTACATAATCAACAGCAAAGGGAGTCAATATCAGATAGGAGAAAACACTTTTCCAGACCTTCATAGTATTATAGACTTTTACAAGAAACATTTCCTAGACACAACAAACTTACAGGAGCCGGTAAGTCATCTGTTGTTGTTGTCGTTATGTACAATGTACTCTGTCAGCATGCAATAACTCTTAGACTCTTAATTAGAGAACCTTATTAGTTCCAGTGGTTTTATAGCACTTTCATTCTCCTAAATTTGCTTTAAGGAATAATTTCGCTCTGTTTTGTGTGTTTAAACAGCCAGAGGATTGGGAAACAAAACATCACTTTAGCATGGCCTTACCTTACATGTCTTTTTTCTATCAGCTCTTTTTCAACTTGTGTTTTTCAACTCGTGTTTTTCAACTCATTCATTCTTTCATTGACTGATTCATTCATTAACCATTCACTGGACTGTTATAATTGGAAGTAAAACTATTGAGATAAGGGTTATTTAATGTGTTCACTTGTCAACAATTAAAACCTATACAAAGTTGTGTCAAAGAAGAAATTTGAGTGGTGTTTTGTGGGGATGGGTTGATACTAATACTTCTGGTGATAGCAAGGTCTGATTGAAAAATATGGATACCAGCAAAAAGTATCTATATTTCAGTACTGCATGCGATCTGCCTGTCTCATGTCTGTGACCTAACACTGATATGGAACCGAAAAGACCGTGGGCTCAAGGCTGGGCAATGAGCACTGCAGTGTACCAGTTTAAGTGGCACACGAGCACTGTAGGAATGAACTCATCGACGACTGTCTGCCAATGCTTTTGCAGAGTATTGAATACTGCATAGCTTAACAGTGCTAGATAAATTTTGGCAATCAAAATAAGTTACTAACTTGTACCATTTAACTCAATGATGATGCAGTATTGATTTCAATATCAATATAGAAGGAAAACATCAGTATTGTACTTGGTGTCATATTGATATGGAAAAATGGTTTTGGCCCATCCTTAGTGTTTTGAATTTAATTTATAAGCTACTCTCAAAAATTTTACATTAAATATTTGTGACTGTGAAAGGCAAAACGGACACTAATGGTTATCTGTTCAAACAAGTAAACCATTTGTTATCCATTCATCATCCATTCAAATGCCTAAAAAAATCCATTCAAAGCGTTCAACAAACCATTCAAACGGTTTGCATATCCATTGGAAATACATTAGCATCCTTTCAAAGTATTGCAACATCCATTCAAATGGTTCTGACATCCATTCGAACAGTTTTTGCATCTGTTTGCCAACTAGAGGTGTTTGTTTGGAGAACTGCAGCATCCTTTTGGTAAACCAATCATATAACCAATTGTATGGATTAATAATTGTTTTCATCCGTTCTTATAGCTTGCCATTCAGTTTGATATTATCCGTTTTACTCATCCATTCGAATGGCTAAGCAAACCATTCTAACGGCTAATCAAACCATTCAAATAATTTATTCACCCATTTGAACGGTTTGCCTGTCCGTTCGAAATTTTTACTCATCTGTTTGAACGGCTAATCAAACCATTGAAATCATTTATTCACCCGTTTGAAAAGTTTGCCTGTCCATTCGAAATTTTTACTTGTCCATTCGAACAGCTGACCAAACTGTTCAAATAATTTATTCATCTGTTCGAACAGTTAGGCAAACTGTTCAAACACTTCAAGGACTGTTCGTTAACCATGTGTTTTTGCCGTTTGCACAGTTTTCCGTTAGTGTCTGTTTTGCCTTTCAGGGTCACATTTATATCTTCACCCACTGTCTTCATTTGTTATAAGCTATTATGTATATTTGCGCAATCATGACTGGTGTAAGTAACTGACGATAACTTTTTGATTCATAGCTATTTAAAGTGCTAGCTCAGTATCCATTTTCTGCTAAGGTAATGTATTAAACATCTTACCAATGTTATTTTTTATCATGTGGTCTTAATTTGTTTCTGAAGTATTATATTTGGCTGTAATGTTGAATCTGATTGGCTAATTGTGTGCTTATAGTCGGTTCAGCTTTTGACAATATAGACAACAATCAGCACCATTAACTGTAGAGGGAAAAAGCAAACCAGCATTCAGAAATAAATGTAATTTACTAGTCCTACTTTGGTCCATGTGGGGAAAAAACTGTTCCCTTGGTCCTCGGCCTCAGGCCATACACAGGGAGTCAGGTACAATTTTTTCCATACGGACCTGTCACCTGGTAAATAAAGTCCTTGGAAACAAGAACCAAGGAGTGTCATGTTGTATTGGTTATGAGTAGCTAAACATCTTTTTTGAACTTGAAACATATTTGTTGAGTATTGTGCAAGATTTTGAAGGGTTTGGTGGACAGTGTGTTGTTGTGTGAATTCAAATGAATCACGTTGGTCCATATTACATCCTATGGTGTCAATTTTATACAGGACGCAGAAGATCTCAGCTTCAAAAAAGGCGATGTTTTGATAGTTGTTGAACAAAATGAAGAAAAGTGGTGGACTGCTATAAATGAACAAGGCCAGAAAGGCCTCATTCCTGAACCATATGTCAAAAAGGTATGGGTGATGTCTTTGTTTGATTCCCACTTACACATCTTCACACATTTACTAGGGGTTTGAATTGGTTTTGAAGTGAATGGAAAAACTGTAAACTAAGCAGCAACTGTAATTGAAATTCTATTTTTACCCCATGGATAATTTTTTTATAGCTGATTGGAATCTGCCAGCTACATTTTCTAAAAAATCTTAATATCCTGATTACAGCTTTATCCAGTGTCATGTGAAGACAACATACCCTAGTTTATCACCCTCTCTTATCTAAAATACCTTAATTTATACTTAACTATTCAATGGGTATCATGGGAGAAATCTTGTCCTTCTCACACATAGAAATGAAAATAGAAAAGATGTTCAGATATACAAGATTGTTACAGAAGCCCTGGTATGTGCTTGCCTTTCAGCTTTGTGATCTTCAACAACCAGGCTCTCCAGTACCACCTGCTGCACCACAGCCAAATGATCAAAGAAGGTCTATGCCTCCACCTGCAACTACAGTTCAAAATAACAGTGATGTCAGAAGAACATCAGTGCCGCCCAACATGAGACCGATGCCACCGGTAATTTAATCACAAAAAATCTTTAATTCATTGTTTTTAAAGATGTCAATCTTGAAAACCAGATTTATTTTAATTTAGGCTTATGTTCCTGAACTGCTCATGCTATATTTGTCAACTGCATTTTTCCAGTATAGTTTACACATGGCAGTGTCTTTTGGTTCAAGGTGGTGCTGTATATCTAAGTGCTCATAGACACAATGTGCAAACTTATCTCAATGTTATCTCCTCTACCTTTTCCTTGTTACCAAGTGGAAAAACATCCCTTTTTGTTGACTAAAATCTTCCAAGACAGACACACTGTTGCAAATTAGATGTGCTGTCGCACTAATAGGCCATTTTGCAGTTGTGTACTTAGTTGCCAAGCCTTTGATTTGTAGTGAGGCTGAAGTTGACCATGTTGTGATAGAGACTAGTATCTAGTTAGCATGATAACATAGTAATGGAACTAATGGAACTAAAAAATCACCATTCCACCAAGAGTAAACTCCTGTGAAGTTTTTATACCAGACAGAGTACTTGTCATAGCCTCTGCTTGCCTTCTTAAAAAATTCCATACTGATTTTTTTCGTTACACAATCAAGTTGGAAAAAAGGTGCAGTTTGACATCTTGTCTTCGTTCAGTAGGATGCTGCAATCCATAAATATGTTTTTATTGATGCCCTTCAAAAATGGAAGTAGATCAATCTATCGCTTTGGAGATGCATTTTTTCCTTTGGTCAGTGCTTTTTGATGTGTTTAATTTGTTGTGCAATCTAAACCTTCTTTGTTTTCAATAGACGGCTGAAACAGAAGGATCAATGTATGTCCGTGCTACACGGAAACATCTCATGCCTTATGATGACACAACTCTAGCTTTTGAGGTAAATGCATTCACTGTGTCAGCTTCTAAGATAACTTGGGCAGCATGTTTTTGAAGCGTGAAGTTCACATGTTATTGAAAATGGACAGGGAAAGATTTCCTGATGCCCATGGAACAACACATTTTGATCTTACTAATACAATACTAAATGCTGCCTTGCAGAAAGGAGATATCATCAAAGTTCTAAAGAAATACGACAATGGAAAGTGGTTTGGTCAAAAAGGTGACAGAACAGGCTATTTTCAGTTTAACTATGTGCAAGTAATACCAGCAAGTGAAAGTCCAGATTGAATGGAATGAGCAGTAATTAAAATGTAACTAATGAACATTGAAATTAGAATTAGGAGTTTCCAGATCTTCATGTTGTCAATCAATTCTCAATCATCTCAAAAGTTAATCACAATAGGCGTTGTTGATGGAGCGCCAGCATTAATGAGTAATATCACTGGGATGTTTTCCATTTACAAGGTTTGCCAGTGGCATGGATTAGCTCCTCTGAGAATTACTACAAACAAGAGCAACTTTTGATGCTTCTTCTCGGCACAAACTTACACTTTTATTCCTCGCTTTACTGACTTCCTTGGCAAATGCTGCTTCATGCAAAGGCACCCTTTGAATTTTACCATTGCTTTGTGCATGGACAAATCTCTCTCAGGCCACAGTTTCTCTTAGCAATTTTCAACTATGCTATCGAAAATGGGGTAAACTTTGAATTATTTGTCATGCCTCTGATTTTTTCTCACAACTTGCTGTGTATTGTTATTCAAATGAAAATACTGTGATAATTTATCAAAACGATTTCTTGACATGACCTTTTGTACAGACAGAATACCGATGAGTGGATCTTTGCTCTAGTAGAGCAAAACAGTAAAAAACAACACATTTAAATGCTTTCATGTAATCCAAGGAATGTTTTCATCTCTGCGAGTGTTGTTCTGTACCATTCAGGGACAGGTTTTGTAACGATGGATTCCTGTGTACTGATTAGTTTCGCCAACTATGTGTTTGATTAAGTCAAAATTGGTCAAAACACAATTAGTCCACAGAATGCAGATACACACTCCCAGGAATAAGACGTGGTGACGCTAGAGTGCAGAGGTGCACTCTCAGGGCCTAAAATTTGAAGCGAATGGTGATGGAAGGGAGAGAATTCGGTGAAACAAACCATTGAAATTAACTAAGAAATGGCTCTGTGCATACATAATAAAATATCATTCTGTACATTCTTCATATTCATGAGATTAGAATTTTTTGAACCCCAATAGTGAATTTTTATATCCATAGGAAAAAGGGGGCCTGTATTCATAAAGGGACCATAACATAAATTTGTGGTAAAAAAGCCACCTACACGTACACCTACATGTACCCATTTATAAATTTTGCAAGAGACCTACAGATACAAAGTATATTTTTCATTTTCTTTGTATAAGCTTATTTTTATATCATTGCCTTAGCGAGACTCTTTCAATAGATTCTAAGGCATTAAAGAGAGTTGTGTGCATGTATAGTAGCAGACAAATAGCATTCAGTTGTCTCTGGCAAATTCGGCCAAAAAAAATTTCTGATCCAGATGTTCATGCAGATAAGCAGCACCCACTGATTTGTTACAAAATGTTTGGAAAAAAAGGTGCAGCTTATATGCCTGTATTTGTGGTAGTTGCCTTTAAGAAGCATCAAGCATTCTTATTAATTCCCACAAGCGAGCTATTGGCATAACTTTACCAGATAAATGATGAACATCCCTTGTATTACTCCTCAAGAAATAGCTAGCTTGACTTAAATTAGTGATATAGATTTTATTTGATTTTGTGTTAGTGAACTTTGTAGTGTACAAAGCAGCCATGGATGGCTTATTCAAGTACTTAATAATAATATTTGTGGGGAGAACACAGCATATCCTGACATTTGTGACGTTGGAATGTGACTTGAGAGAATAGTCCAGCTTTTGTAAAGTAAATACCTTAAGAACCCAAATAAGTACATTTCTGCGTAGAAGAGGTATACACCTATGAAGAATTTTTATTTTTGAAATTGTGCAATAACTTCAATTGAGTGTTATGATATGGATGAAATTTTTGGACTGAGGTAACTGATGCAGTAGCACACATCTACTCAGTTTCTGTTTTATTTGTAATAATTTTCCTTAGTAATAAGATGAAGCAAGTGGAACATGCTTTCTAAGTTACAAGCTTTCTAAAGAAATGCTTTGTTTGCTTGAAATCAATTGGTGAATGAAACAGTGTAAATCTGGTTGGAGTTGGGGCACTCTCCCTCTGTGATGGGTGTGAACTACCTTATAAGGTATGCTTTTAGGGGTTCAAGGTTTAAACAGGGTACACAATTTGACCATTAAGCTTTATAGGGTATCTTTTTGGACCAGAAACCTTGAACAGTGTGGGAACATGGCATAATCCAGTCTAACTACTTGGTACTAAATGAAATTGCTTGTAATTCTTATGTTAAATTTTCTGCTTTTCGGAGTTTTCAAAAGTGCTTTCTAGAGGTCAGTGTGTGTTACTTTAAATGTACACAATTTCTCCTGATCAAAACGGTTGTAGAATGAACAGGTTTTGGTGAAACAGTGGCAGGGTTTGAAGTTGAGGCAGCATATCCTCAATTAAACTCCCCTTAGCTATTTTGGCCCTTTAACTCTCATGAGTGACCAAGACAGAAGTTCTCCTTACAATATCGAACAGACAAGTGATGAGAATAAAGAAAAAGATCAATTTGGGGATAATTAGTTGATTCAATACTAAATTCTCAGAACTAACATAAGAATTTTATGGTTGACAGTAAGGAGAATTACAAATTTGATCAAGGAGTTAAAGTGTTAAAAGTTAACACACCCTAGTTTACAAATTCTCTTTACAGCTCTTTAAACATTTCCTTGGTATTAACTAAAATAATTTTTTTCAAGCATTTGTGTCCATATTTAACTCACCTCTGAGTGACCAATACATAATTTCTCCTTCCAACATCAATTTTAGTTCAAGCAGACAAGTGACAAGAATAAAGAAAAATATTAACTTGCAGATTATTTGTAAGTTCTCAGAATTAACATTATAAGAAATGTCTGGCAGACATTTAGGAGAATTACTAATTAGATGTAAAGAGTGAAAGGGTTAATATTTTATTTTTGTGATGATGTTGTAAAGAGAAGTTATATACTTTTCATTCCAAGGGGTTAACAGGTTGAGTGTCTCCCTGCAGTTAATCCTCACAGCTTTATGTTAGACCTGATTCAGACACCATACTTTTCATTAGCCAGTTGTATTGTCTTAAATTGATTAAAAGAAGTTTGTTTTCTAAGTTAATGTTTGGTGAAAGTTTGAATCTGGACTGGCTCTGCCATTCATCTGGCTCTCCTGAACTGTGGATTTCAACTTGGAACAGCTTTGATTGAGATGCCACATTCTTCATGCACCCAACCTGTGGACTTCAAAGAACTAAAGTGTCGCTTCGGTTTTCCTAGGTTTCTGGCCGTCATTCAATCGCGTAGACGCAGCAAGCGAGGCTCCTTTAGCCACTTTGGTGGCGTTTCTTACTGTTCTTAGGAAATGATGGTTCAGGTCGAGGGCATGTGGTTAAAGAAGCCACATTTTAGTTATGTATTCCTTGTTTACAAATTTGATTTTCCCGCCTCATATTTTTTCGAGAAACCGCCGAGGCAGACGAGGCCCCACGTTCTGAGAAACAGACTTTAATAGTTGCGTTTCTCTCCTCCCCCTTATCGCCTAGAACAGGCTTTTTTGCATCATTAAAGTTGTGTGAGTTCTAGACCAACCAGAAAGTCATGAGAAGCAGAATAAAGGCAAATACTTTCGTAATCTTTGCGCATAAGACAGGTTCCTCTCGGCTCCCTCATTTCTCCTTTGCGGTTTTCAAACTCGATCTCAACTCGAGTAAAAGGGAAGCTCTTGAACAAAAACCACACCAACAATGATCGGTAAATTTGCTTACGTATTATTTTATAGATTACTTTAAACAGGAGACTAACGACCAGTTATTTCCTACTTGATTAACGGTTGTTAACAAACCAAGCATGCAACCAAATCCTAATCTAGGATTTGTCTCCTTAAGGTGCCAAACTCGCAAGCGAGGCCAAATCTTAGAGTTAGAGATTTACAGCATAAATTCCCAGTTGGCACCCATCTTTCGAACATAGTTTGTGAATTTTCGTTCAATGTAATTTGTTACTGTGTGCATAGGATCTTGCAGATCAACATTGGGAGGGGTGTGGCAGCAAATGACGTAACAAATGTGTCCCCCAACCCCAACTAAATGTAGTAATAGTTTTAACTAAGACCTATTAACGCATTTCTGTTACCTAACATGACAGTTTCCCTACAGCATGTGTTTCGAGTCAAGACTACAATGGCAACTGTAATAAAGGTTTCATCAAAATCAACATTATTATTATTGATGCTTCATTAAAAAATACAAAACAAGAAAAAACAGATCAAAACAAACAAAAAAACAAAACAAAAGCAAAAACTGAAAAAACTAACATGTCTTGCCAAGTAACCAGCTCAGGAATTAACTTCAGAGAAGCCATTCTAGTCGTGACTGGCTCTATCATGCGTGACAAAAACATAACCAGTTCTCTTAACGTTACCTGTTCAATTACAACACCACCTATTGAAATTAGTTCCTTCCCATTTAGTGCATGCTGTAGTTTAATAAATATTCATGCCTGAGAAGCTCACTTGATTACTTCAAATGAAAGTTTAAGCACACAATTAGAGCAGATATAGTAAAATAAGCTGACAGGATATTCTGACAGATATTCTGATGTTTACACAACTGCAAAGAAATTTCGCTATCACAGTTAAATTGATAGAGTATTATACAGATGCAGTATATATGACCATACAATTTACCATTAGCAACCATTAAACTTGGTATTATTATGAAAAGAAAAGAAATGAAATGTAATGAAGTACAAACTACTTCCTGTTTAAGTTCTTAATGGTTTCTTCCTGCACATCACCACCTTCATGCACTTCACAAACATGCTGTATAGACATTATGTGTTGGGTTTCTGTCTTTTGGTGATTTTTATCTCTTGGCCACCATAACAACATAAACGGCTTTTGCTGTTTAAAATGCTGATGAAAGTTAGACAGGACAAATTGCAGAGAGCAATAGTTTAAATAGGAAAAGGGATCCTCATATTAAGACAGATGTAACGTTCTGATTAAGAGATACAAGTTTTTGGCTCTCCTGTTCACTTGGTACATCTTTATGACAGAAATTGAGTACTTTTTGAAGTCTGAACCTTTTAGTGTTTAACAGCCTGTGTATACCAAAACCTTTCCTCTCTGGGTATTCTTAACCCACTAGCTCCTGTGAGTGACCAAAAAAGAAATTCTTGCTATATAAATACAATATCATCCAGACAAGTGATGAGAATTAAGAAAAATATAAATTACAGGATTACTAATGGAGCCAACAAAAAATTCTCCAAACTAACATAATGAGAATCCTTTAGTCGAAAGTAAGGAGAATTACAAATGAGACCTTGGGAGTTAAAGGTTTAATACTTAAGAGTACTTAGCAAGGTATACACAGGCTGTTTAGAAGCTTAACAGTCAAGGTAAGCCAACAGTTAGCATAAGACCATTTACTCCAGAGATCTAAAAACTAAGTTTTAAACCATATATTTCTTTGCTGGTTGGTGCTGAAAATTGCTGTCAAGTCCAAAAATCTCCAAGCTGATAATTTTCTTTCTTCTTGTAACCTAACTGGTGGGTAGTATATTAGCATACTTAGGAGATTTTATTTCCCAATCACTCTTTAGAGTGCAAGCTTCAGGCCTTTAACCCATGGGTTCACCAGAGCATCCACAGTTTGAACCTGCACCTAATGAAAAGGCATATGTTGTTCTCATTTTGTTTCAGTTTCTGCAGTTTCTGGAGGCTGACTGACCTCCTACACCTCTCACTCATGATCTTGCTTTGATTCAGTGCCTCCAAACCATGTGCATAACACTGTTATGTCAATTTAAGCTTGTGCTTTGTTGCTCTTTCCCAATACAATTCCTCTGTCCCACAGATCCACTTGTAATATCTCTTCTTCTCTTATTGCAATATTGCGAAGGACCTGCCTTCACTTGGGAATTGTCTCTGTCTTGAAAAGAATGAGTTTGTTTCCTTGTAAAGCCTCCTGGTGTCTCAGTATGTCTGCTCTTGGTACCTGAATGCCTACTTTGTTGAGAGTGTCTCTCATCTCTCTTATATACTCCTTGATTTTGTTTGTACTGTCTGTTAGTCTCCTGAATTCTGCTGTCCCGTTTTTTCTTTTCAGTCTTGTGCTCCAACAATGAATTACCACATTGACTTGGAAGAGGGTCGTTTACGTCGATGATGGATAACTCACTCACTCTTGTTTTGTGCTGTTCAATACAATTTGGTAATCCTGATGAAATGTCAACTCTGTGAGTTCCTTCCGTCATTGCATTTGTTACATTATCCCCTGAAGGCTCCGAGACTGATAGTAATTCTTTTGTTCTTGTACTAGAGATCACCTCCTCTTGTGAGGATTCGTTACATGAATTTTCCTTCAGCTTCTCTGCTGACGAGACTGCCTAGAACAAGACAAACCTTACTGAAATGCCTATCACCTACCATCTACAAAATTTAACTTATTTGTCTGAACATGGGACAAAAAAAAAATATCCTCCCCTCACACCTGCTGACTCAGCACTCCAACACTCTACTTCTGAACTACAGAACTGAGCTGTCTCATATCCAAGATTCATATGGGAAAAGTATTCTGCCTACTGTGAGGATTAGCAAATGTCAAAGGAAGGGGGGGGGGAAAAGAAGGAGGAAAAGAAGGAGGAAAAGAAGGAGGAGGAGGAGGAGGAGGAGGAGGAGGAGGGAGTGGTGATGTCAAAAGGAGGAGAGAGGAAGGGTAAATAGAAAGATAACTGTTGACAAGGGAGTTGGAGGTAATCATGAAATGGATTGAAGGAAGTTAACCTGTGACCTTAGGTTCATCACACCAACTAGTGTTGACAGTTCAAAAAGAGATAGGGGAATAAAAATGGTAAGCAACTGCTCCCATTTATTGTACACCAGGATTTCATTACATTAACATTCTCATCATTTAATTAGTTTAAGCTGGTGCAAAGGCACAGCTAAGTAAGAAAAAATGTTTACCGCAGTGCTCTGAAGATCTGCTTGTCTCCTAAAAGGATGCATTCCAGGATATCCATTAGAAACTGTTCTAGTAAGGGGATTGTTCCCTTGAGGATTACCTTGCAAAATCAAGTTAAAAGAAATGAGAAGGGTTAGTCAGATCAGAGGTATTTGAAGACCCAAAGTTATGTGTTGAATCAAAGAGAGACCCCATATTAGGGCAAAATACTGTAGGGTAATTTAGTATTACAACTGAGATGATAATGTAAATTAGCCACCATAAGGAGTTTTAACAGCTGACTTTTCGAGCATTAGTCTTCAGTCAGAGTGGTGACTCAAAATAATTAAGTTATTTTCAAACACCTGTCTTTGACAGCTTTACATTTGAATTCTGAAAATTTTCGTAGTCTGGGCCCCAAGATCAACTTTGGATTCTGTCCTTATCTGCTATTACACCCAAGCTTTATATAGAAAAACATGGTGTCTAGAGTCAACAAACATCTTATTGCAGAACAAGAAGTTACACATTCACTCACAAATTGCTGAACCATTTACACCCTAACATCAGTATGCATATTCTCTTCACTGTTACCTACACATTTCCAAAGGTACTGATAAGGTGAATTTGTACCACAATCTAGAGTTTCTTTAGTTGGTGATCATTTCCTTAATTTTCTTAACATTAATGTTTGATTCAGGGTAGAATTGAAGGGAGAACTTAGATGCTAGTCACTCTCAGGTGTTAAACTGTTAACTGGTCTTCAGACAGAGGCATGTTTTCTCTGAGTGTTTGCCAAAAACTTTCAAGAGGAGAGAACTTTCTCTAAAATGTTTGGAACTCACTTGGGTTTTACGACAGACTTTCCATCAACACCCTGCCTAGGTGAAAAAATTGGGGGGCTGAAAAATTTCTTGAAATGTCAAGAAAATTTCACTTGAGGCCAAATTTCCTTAAAAATCCCCTCAAAGCCACAAAATTGATTAAAATTCCCTTGAACTACTTTCGCTGAACACTGTAAGATACATAAAACATCATGACAGAGCTAACCTGTGTCAAGTGCTTTTGACCATAAAATACCTGGATCATCAAGCATTGGCATGTGGTGGCTCGTGGGTGATTTACATTCAAATCCTGGAGGAGGGCGACCTTTGGAAAAAAAGGATATGGATATCTCTGTAATTTTCAGAACTGGTTCAAATTCTGAGCTGGTTGCAAAGAAAATAATAAATAATTTTGCACTTCAAATGACCCTGCCTGCCAAAATGTGGCACAGTGTCTTTGTTCTGAATTTGTCACAACACTAACTGGATTTTGAACAAAGCTTGTAACAGATGAAATAAATAGTATGACACAAGCTGTAGCAATTGTTTCAAAAAACTTACACAAAATTCTACAGATAACTAAAAAACTTGTTTCTAAACTTGTCCTAAAATTTCCTTGGATCCAACACTTGAACCACAGGATGAAAAGCACTAAAAACTTATCACTGTTACACAACAACTCTGAGGATCAAAATAGATTGCTCTGACAAAGGGCTAACACTCTAAACATCAGCTTTAAGCTCTTTATGGTAGTAAAATTTTTTTGTTATCAACCTAGTTGATAGTACTAAACTACCCTGTTATACTCTTCCACCCACACAGCACCACAGTTTCTTTATAAACTTACCCCTTTATTCATTTGCCCCAAGGAGGGTTTGAAATCACAAGTTAGAAAAGTTATAAGCTTGTAGAAATCCCATATTTTTGGAGACAAAATTGCATTACACCCCAAAAAATGAAAAATCTCTGTTGCATATGTCTTGTGATTCTGAAAGCAGAATACAAGATTACATACCTTGGAATGGGTTTTGCGTTTGCTGTGAAGAAAAAGGCCAGTTAGGTGGATGACTTTCTGTCAGAGGTGCAGAATGAGACCAAGAAGATTGTTGTTGAGGTAACCGAGAATCTAAGAAAAAAAATGAGGCATTCAGTCACATAAAACTTTGGAAATCGAAGTTACAGCATCTTAACTATTGCAATCAAACACAAAGACTTTAACTTAAGTTAATATTAATCACAAGTTTAACATGAAAGTAGGTATTTGAACCAAGCCAATAACCAATAATTCAAGCATTCAAGGTTGTCAAAAAGATTTTGTGTCACAGTAGCAATACAGAGCAGGCCACTCCACACAGAAAGCCCCTCCACAAGCAAGAGGCATTGGGAGCAAGAAGCATTCAGAGTAGCTGTGTATCTTTCAGAGTATGCAATGCAATGTGCTAGTTACTGGCTTATTTTGACCAACCTGAAGCAAACAAGTTTTCTTAAAATAATGTATCAACCAGTACAAAAAACATTCCCTTTCACTGGGAAGCAGGATGCCTAGTTGTTCAAACATTTTTTGCTTATATGATTGGATAGATGCCAAGATACTTTGCTACTCTACAAGAAAGCTTTGTTATCATAATTTTATAACAAACATACTCCATCACAAAAATCTGATGTTGTTATTTAACAACATACCTGAGAAATTAATGTTTATGTTTGGTAGAAGTGCTCTAAGTCCATCTTGCCAGTTTTTAATATCATCACTCTGAGAGAGGACAAACATTCCAGAATTCAAAATCACAAGTCATAAAAATTAAGTACCAGTAATATATTCCTTCCACAACTAACAAGGAAAGAATTGAGTGTTTCTACTGCAACCTACATTTGGTGGAAATCCTGGGAAGAAACTTTGTGATTGTGAAGCTGTGGAAGTGTGAAGAGTATGTCCAGGCAAAGTTGTTTTGTTTTCTTCTTGAAGAAGATCTGCCAAACCTTTACTGCACTCATTCCAAGGATCAAACCCTTGCAAAAAAGGAAAACACAGCCACTATTACTAAACAGAAATGTTAATTTGATGACAAAAATAAAATTGCCAATGCCATCTTAATCATTAAATATGCAAGGAGTAAAGTAAATTCTATATACAGTAATGGTAATTGAACTAAGTGGAGTGCAATTCAGTTTGAAATCAAGCAAGTGATTTCAAAATCAACAAGCATGTTGCACTTGTTTGATTTGAAATCACAAGTATGATTTCAGACCAAAATTGCATGAAATGAAGTTCAATTACCATTTTATTACATCCATTTTTACATAAAAACAATTATATTGCTTACATACAGCATTTGTTGATTTGTACAAATATTTTATTGATCCAGTACTGAGCTGCTTTGTACATGGTTCCTAAAGTCCTCTTTCATTTTCCTGCATTTCAATTGGTTACTAAGAGCAAGCCTTGAAATTTTATTGATTGTTTTGTTTTAGTAAAGGTTTCTAATCTGCTGCAAAAAAGATGCAGTTGCAAAAAATGGTGCCATTTATGATAAATTGCACCAGTGAAAGTCAATCAAATTGCAAGAATCACCAGTGATAATTATCATGATCATCATTAATTATTTTTATTGATAAATCATCTTTACCAAAATCAGAGACCAAAGATACAGTATTGTGCAAAGTTCGGCGAATTCCATTATTTGTTCTCATGATGTTTCATCGAAAGTTTTAGAGAGCAAAAATTCAATCGAAAGTTTGAGGCCTCTTAAGCAACATTTTGTTTGAACAAAGGATGCTTTTTCGTTTAATTTTCGCCACAAAACAAAAATTTGCGGCGGAAAATGTCTTTTCAATCATTGGTGTTTGAAATTTTGCTTCAAACTGACAATAGACTGCTGCAAATGATTGAGTTTGTTTACTATTCATGTAAGCAACACGAAGTATACATATAAACATATTTCCAGCTTTTTTTCAGTCACAAGGACGGAGACACTTCATATTTGAGACTAAACACAGCAGACAAAAGGTCAAACTACCAAAAAGCATCACGTTCGATTCTGAGCTCGATCTGTGTATGACAATGAAAGTAAATTGGAAAATACAGTAATTTTGACTAAGATACATGTTGCTGGTTGTCTTGTCATCCCTGTGCATTTGATGATCGACGAAAGTTTTTGCATCCATAGACAGCTTTTGAGGTCTTCCCGATCAAGGTAAATTTGCCACAGAACCCGACGTAACCTTTTAATGATGCGTGTTATACTAGAAAAGCTCACTCATAACCCTTCCCATTTTAACGCCCTCAGTATTTCAGCTGGGTGAAGGCCTTGTTTGTAAAGGATCTAAATTCTTTTTCTAGAATAATTTGAAACTTTTGCCATGATGACTATCAAAAGTAGAGTACATAAATGATCCCAAATGCATTGACACAATTGAGTGTTGCCATGGTTGCAAACAACATAGGTCGCATGGAGACTGGAATTGTAGCAGAAAATTCCACGGGAGTATTACATAGAGCAGTAACAAACCACAAATTCAACCAAATCTTTTTGAGAAGAATGAACAATAGCAACACAGAACAAATTTTCACTCAAAATTCGAGTTGCATTTTTGCCATCAAGGAATATGTCGCTGAAAGTTTGAGCTGTTCAAAACAATACATGCCTCAAAAATTCATGGAAATGTCATCGAAGTTTCATTTTGGTCAAGAATTCATCAAAAAGCTATCACCCAATCAATTACTTTTGCACAATACTGAAGGTGTTGCTGTCAGGTAGCCTACAGACCCAGGGCTGTAGCTAAGAAATTAGGCTGCCGACAAACATTTCGAGTAATGTGATTCAAAGATAGCTTTTGATACCGATGATTGCAAGTGCGTAACATCAAAAGTGTGCATTGTGCTTTACTGAGGGAACATTGGCCAAAACTTCAGCCAGCAATTGCCACTTTTTTCGTTTGACAAATTTGCCTGCAGCTGAAGATAGCTACAACCCTGGAGACCAATCAGATCAATCTGATGTGATGCAAGTCATGGCAGTACCTAAATCATCTTCCCCATAAACTTTCAGATGTAAATTAGACAGGCCCAGACCACTGCACAGATCAGCAGAGAACAGACTGGAAGTACTGCAGAAAAAAAATGAAGGAAATGACAATTGGCCAAAAGTAATCTGTACTTTTAGGAAAAAATCATATTGACAGAAAGAAGGCTAGGAAAGAAAAATAGCAGGTAGCTGATATGATGCTGCACTTTTCTCCACCTAAGGGATGAGTCAAATACCTCTCAGAATTTAACAACAAAGTCACTGATCCCTGTGCTTTAAGTTTTCAGTCACGTACTGTTTGTCAAATTTATATCACAATTTTCTCATTTTATTATTAATAAAAGCTTCTTACTCTAAAACGCGTCCAGCACTTTCTGTATTTCCCCAACCTGTAAATGTAACAGCAAAGTTGTCAGCAAAAACAACTGACTTTTGTTAGAGGGTCCCATTTAAAATAATGGTCAAAATGTGACAGGATTGATTATCAGCCCCTGAAATTTTTTTTCCAACCAACACAAAATCTTTCTAATGAAGGACACCTTTTGCTATTTTTCTAAACAATAATTTGTTGGTGAATGGATGAAAAAACTGTTTGAACGGATGTTGAAATCGTTCAAACAGATGTCAGAACCATTCGAACAGATGTTGCAATACTTCAAATGGATGCTAATGTATTTCAAACGGATGTGCAAACTGTTTGAACGGTTTGTTGAACGGTTTGTTGAACGCTTTGAATGGATTTTTTTAGGCATTCGAACGGGTGACAAACGGATAACGAATGGTTTACCCGTTCAAACAGATAACTGTTAGCATCCGTTTTGCCTTTCACAGTCACAATTGATTTGCAAATGAAAAGAAAAAATGTCATTTTGTCACTTGACACTGCCATGAATAACATGTTGAAACACACCACAAATCTCCAATAAAAAAGCCAACAATTCTTACCTGTATTGCTGTAGGTTGACTGTGGATGGTTTGCAGGTTTTTCTTGTCTTATGGTGTCAGATGGCTTATGTTCTGTTGCAGTTTTAGTCAGAGATGGAAGACAAGATTCCTCCCAGTCCTCCTCCTCCTTTCTTTCTGCAACTGAACTACCTTCATTCTCTAAAGTACTTTGACAGGTGTCTCCTTCTCCATTCTCATCTTTGCCAGCCCTTCAACAGTCAAAGGTAAAGGTTAGAAAGAGTCGAGTATGCAGTAAAGCTAAGAGGCCCACAAGGCACCAGAGCCCAGTCTCTGTAGCATGAAGCAACAAAGCACACTACTGCTACTCTTGAATGAATGACTGGTCCATGCCAAAGTACCCCACACACCCACTTCCCCCATTTTGTCCCCATTCCCTGACAGTTTGCTGTCTGAGCATAGGTCATCAATTAACCCTTAAACTCACAAGATCTGTATGTTAATTCTCCCTTCTGGCTGCTACTCATTTCCTTGTTAATCACTTCTGAGGGTTAAAGGATTGCCATGTGTATTCAATTAAACGCCACAGCATCTATTAAATTTTTCATGATTCAAATGTGGCATTTATTCCAGGGTGGCGTTTATTTAAAATCCTATTTATTTCTTGCAAACAGTAGTACGGTGACTGACAATTTTAATTTAAAAAAACAGAAAGATGTTTTAGTACTTGTCTACAAAGTCATATTTTTATATCGTTCTCAAATTTCACTATTTGCATGTCAATACTACTGCAACACAAATCTGATGTCAGATATGCTTTCTCAACATCAGAACTAGTACATTCAAAAGGATTTGTATCTGGTTCACTCAAAATTTCCAACTGCAATTGAAGCATTGATCTTTGTGTGCTTTTTGAGTCTATTACTAGAATGAATGCCTCATCAGGATGGGGCGTTTATTCAAGGGCGGCATTTATTAACTCACTCAATGTGTTGGTAAAACATTACGTCCAAGGTGAGTTGAGAAAATCATGCAACGTTGGAAAGATTTCACCCAATCAAGCACTTGTTTCAGCTTGTAGAAAACCAGACTTTTAAGAATTCATCAGACTTCAAAGTTATGTAACTTTGAAGCCTTATTTCTTCACTTTTTCAGGAAGTCGAGACTATACACAAACCCTGTGAGAGGTATACAAGAAAATCAGGTCATGAATGAAATCATTTACATGTACCATGCTGCTTCTGATGTTAGACGAGGAGACAATCTGTATTCACCACCATCATCAACCGGCCATTCTTCATTTTTATCCTTAAAAAAAACAAAGCCAAGTAATCAAAACATTTGCAAAAATGATAAGCATGATGCTGGGTATTACAAAAGTTTACTTTGGAATTCAGAGTGGGATAAAGTGGAGTCGATCCCACTTTTTGCTGCATGGTAAAAGTGTCTTTAAAGACATTCTTGTGGTCAGGTGTTCCAAATATTTGTGTACCAGCCCCTTACTGTGATCCTTTTTTTTAAAAGAATTTATATGACAGTATTAATACTAAAATGCACACATACCTTATCACTGCTAAGACCCCTGGAAACATAAAATTACAGAAACTGTGTAAGTTAGTTATGTTAACAGTGAAAAAGATTCCTTATCTACTTTTTTCTATTTATGATGAAACAAAATTGTTGCAATGCTGACATCTTCAAACTATTAGAACAAACAAACCAATCAGGTTATTAAAAAAACTCACATTTTCTTTGAATAAAAAGCAATTAACTGCTGTTCATATTCTTGATGTTTTCTGCAAAAGAACCACAGTAACAACAGTATCAATATTCAACACAGTAGATTGGTGCAGTGACTAAAATGCCACAAAATTCTTAGAAGGGTAACTTAATATGTTTTGAAAGCACATTGCATGTTGAAGTGAAGGGAAGTGGGAATGGGAGAGGAAGCAAAGGGAAGGGTAGGGGAGGGGATAACAAGGGAAATTTGAAGGAGGAGAGGGGAGGGTAAAAATGGAACTATTACAGCTACAATTGGTTTCATATGTTGCTTTTAGAAAAAAATTGAAATGGCTAAAGAAAGGTTACATACCCTGCCTGCATTTCATCCTTTGTAAAACTTCCTGCACCGTCACCTAACTCATGAAGATACATACAATCCTGAAAAAAATCAAATAAAAACAGCAATTTAATTATTCACTTCCTGAATGCACAAGTCCACAACGGAAATACTGCAAACGCATTTTTTCCCATTGAAATTTTATTATTTAAAATTCCAAACAATTTAAGCTTTTTTCAAATCTTATTGTGAAATCCATAAATGGTTTTCATTCTCTTACAGGCAAGGATTGACAGTTATGTTTTCTCAAACTCTCACAATACATTTGAAAGTACACTGAAGCTCAAAAATGAATTTCTAGTAGTTGTATAATAATTTAAGTTTTTTCCATTTTGACCCACAATTCATTTTAAACTTCAACATACATGTAGTTAAAAGTTGTATTTAAAAAAGTCAGGTCTACATGGTTTCAACCTAATTTGAAAAGCATTCCCTTTGTTCCAGAAACATGTACATCTAATTTACCATAATTTTGAAATTCAAATTAATCTACAATTGAAATTTAATTTCACTTGTAAATTATTACTCTTGGCTACAAAATAAATATGTAAGCATTATTCAGTAGTTTAATAGTTTCTGGGCTGATAAGAAATCAGGTTGTTAACATTGTTATCCATGAATCTATTTAAATCAATTTTCTCTTTTCGCATTCTCTGAATTTCTATGTATTGGACAAACCAATTGCCTTATCACAATGAACTAGTCCAAGGTTTTTACTTACTGTTTTAGGACATGGTATGTTTCTGAGAAAGTAACTACAATATTTAGTTGTCCCTAAAGAAGCCCTGTCAAAAAAAATTGATTAAAAAAACAATTACAGGAATACAGAATTATCAGTGGCAAATGGGATTGCAGTAAATGTACTGGTATTCAGTTTTTTTTTTGAAGAAGAAGTCATAAAACTTTTAGTATGAACAGATATCATTAGTATTGGTAATAACATGATTTTGAGGGAAATTTGGTGTTAACAAGTATGAGTAAATTTTCAAAGACAACAAAACTAAGCAGGCCCACAGGGTAAGTGAAATTTGTAGCCTTTGAAAATTTTCAAGTGCTTATTACACCAAATTACAAGTCATAGAGAAATCATGTTATTACTTGTTAATAATGTACATGAAAAAAATCACAGAAAGTCAAGACAGACAAAATTTTGAAAGCGTATGCATGCTACTAGTAATTTGCACTTGTGTTACAACTTTGCATTAGTGTTACACAAGAATGCACTCATTTTCAGCCAATCAGAAGCACGCAATTCTTTCATATACATTATAATCATAGAAACACACACCCACATCAAGGAGAACTCACAATATCAACAGATATATCTATGTACTGTAAAAAAAGAAAAGCATTGAATCTAAATAGAGCAATTTTCAATTGAGTGTCAAAAGTAATCCAGAATTGCTTTGGTTTTGCTTTAATTCCCTCTGTGAGGATTGATCTGCAAAACTTGCACCACTTTCTCAACCAATCAGATGCCAAACTAAAACCAATCACACCATTAGTTGCCAGAATTTTCTGCACTTTAGGAAGTTTGGTAGTTTTCACTTTGAGTTCTTATTGGCTCTTGAATATTTTTTCTTTCTTCTGATTGGTTATCAGGATTACTTTGGTTTTAGCTCTGTGACATTCAATAGAAAAACACTCTAATCAGGACACTTTGTCTCACTTTAATGTTCTCCCATCAAGATGAGTGTTACACACAGCTATTATTGCTTTAATTGCATCCTGTAAATAAAAATAAAATGTGTTGATACCCTTTCATCAAGGGAAGCCCAGTCCGGGCAAATGGTTGTAAAAATGAATGTGATTACCTCTTCTTTCACATATGTAATGTAAGCACTAGCACTGGGTCCCTTAATAAATAAAACAAACAGATAAGACTGATTAAAAATAATAATAGAGTATTATTTGTCAACTGAATTACAAAACTTAAAAGAACATGTATTTTTCCACCTAAAAAGTTCAGGGGATATATTAAAGTTCACATGGCAACCAGGTGGACAATCAGACATAGTTTGATGCTACTCTGGTTTGCAGATTTAATGAAAGTAACCGAAGAAGTTACAATTCATAGATCCAGGGGTCTATGAATTGTAACTTCTTTGGTTACTTTCATTAAATCTGCAAACCAGAGTAGCATCAATCTATGTCTGAAGTTCAGGGGAGATATAGTAAGGAGAAATAAGATGCAAGTCACTCTTTAGGGCTTAAGGGTTAAACCAACAAGCCTGTTCCAAACTTACAATTTGAAAAAATATTCTATGTGATGGAGTCACCTTATAACTTTTTCCACTTTCTCAAGGCAAGATGGAGTTAACCCTTTAGTTAACCCTTTAACCCCTTACACTATCAGTATGATATCAAACAGACAAGTAATAGGAATAAACTAAAAATATCAATTAGGGGATTATTGATTAATCCAATGCCAAATTCTCCAAACTAACATCACATAAATTGTATGACAGGTGGTAAGGAGAATTATCTATGAAATCTTGGGAGTTAAAGGCTTAAAAGATGGAGGTAAAATAAATAAATAAAGCAACAATGTTAGTCATTTCTGGATGATTGCAAGGGGCTGTCATGCTTTGAGTTCAGCAAGCAACTTTGGAAATGCTTGTGGCAAGCTTTCATTCAACCCTCTTTTTACTAGTTGTGGTGACAGGTGAATAGCAAGGGAACTTTTATAGTTTCATACCTGTGACAGTATCTGATGCCTGATGATTACCTCTACCTATGAAGACCTGCATGGTTGGCTTGTTGATTGTATTTACCATAATACTAGGTTTCCGAGTTTGTTTGAATTCACTACTCACCTGGGGACCTGCATAATTTGTACTATTATTCACAACTATTTTGTGTATTTTTCCAAACTTGCTGAAGTACTCTGGTCTTTTAAGAAGCTAAAAGGAAAACACAAAGAAAAAAACACTCATAAAAATTTCTCTCAATTCTTGAACTTAAATCTATAGCACATGAGTACATCAACTTTAAAACATACCTCGGGATCTGCTAATCTTTGAGTTAGTCCAACAACAAATACCAAATTTTTCTGTACAACTCTACAAGAAAAGGGAAAATATCCACATTGGTTATGGTGCAAACTGTGATTCTTTTATTTTAGGGATATATACCCATTCACTCCTTGTCTGTTCCAATTGCCTTTTCCACAATTTAATTATCACATATAAGATTGCAATGCATACTTATTCTATAGCTGACAGAACAAACATGTATCTTTAAAAATAAATAAATAAAAAAAAAAAATAATAAAATTATAGGTTAAAAGTAACATAAATAACTTACAAGAAGAAGAAAAGCAGATCATACTTGTTGGAATAATGAAAGTGCACAAGGAAATCACTCTTTGTAGAGATGATTTATGTAGGAAACTTATATTTCTGTGTGTCTATCCCATTTTGAACACAGGCTACTTTTCAGTCTTTCAGGAAACAACGAAATATCACCCAGAAGCTTGTTCCAAAATAATGAGAAAACTGTCATGCAATGAAAGTAATTTTCCTTAATCCAATCAAAAATATCATATTTAGTCATTTCCATGACATCCCATTACCTAAACTAAAATTCATAGACTTTCTGAACCTGAAAAATAACATCATGAAATTCTAAAGCTTGCCAGGTCTTCCATCACCCTAGCAAATTGCACAAAGGCTAAAAAATGCTCTGACAATGCAGATTTGCCTTCTCACCTCACATTTGCTAAGTGTTTTCTGTTCTCAGTTACTTTTTGTTTTCTTTGTACATCTTTCTGTTTCCTCTCTTTCAGAATTCTCTGTATTCTGCAAAACAAATAAAAGGGTATCACTGAATCAGAAAAATACAAAAAAATTTTTTTTCCATAATTTAAAATTTTTCATGAAGCACATTCAAATATAAATTTCCATTGTGCTGAGGGTTGTATATTATTGCAGCATTTTCTTTTTCTCCTCTCCTTGATATTATTTTGGTGAATCTGAAAGCTGAAGAATTCTAAAAAACTGCAAAGCAAGCAAACAATTAATGCAAAGTTTTTAGGAGAAACAAACTATACATGGTGTGTCTGTATAAAATAACCTGTAACAGGTGTGGCTTTTCTCTTTTTTGACATGTTTGTATTGAAAACCAAAGTATCTCTAATCACAACATGAGCATCATCATCAAAACTAGGAAAAAATAAGTATCTCTATTTCCACACTTAACCCTTTCACTCTCATAATGCAACGAAACACATTTCCTTCTTAATCAGTAACGAGAATTTGGTGATACATGTAGATCAAGATTAAAACTTCTACCTGATAAGTTTGAGTTTTCTCATTGCTTGTTTGCTGGATAATGTATGGATATTATATGGAGAAGTAACATGTTAATCACTCTTGGGAGTTCTAGTATAATACAAAATTATCATCATTTTGTTGGCATTATGGCACATTTTACAAGCTACAATAGAAATTTTGGCAGACTAAAATGCCTCCCATCCTTTCTCAATGCCATCCAAAATGATAATAGTGGTACTACAGCTTGTATCCTTGGGGATAAATATGTTTTGGGCCATTCTAAGAATCATTTTAACCCTCTTGCATTGGCTTGGGTCCAAAATAAATGTTTAACTTTATTTTCTTATTAATTATGCTGAAAGCTTTTTTCCCTAATTTTCTATTCATATTATTTCTGGCCCAACATTTTAGCTCTGGCAAACATGTCATGATTTTGAATTGCTACATAGAATCTTTAAAATGAGTTGGGCTTGAAAAGCTGTATATTTGTTTGCTCAGTAAAACGTTGATCTAAAACGACGTCTGTCTATTAGAAAAGTTATCCTTTACTTACTCGTCTTGTGAAAGGGGTGTATACACCGCAGGATCTTCACTGTAGGGCTGAAAAGATAACAGAAAAACTTTCACACAAGCAAGAGATAAAATTAAATGTATGACTCTCCCTTCAATACCTAAAGTTTCACTGAAATAGCTACAAACAGCAACCAAAACAGTTTCCAAAAATAGAGGAAAAGGTACAAATAATCCTTTACAGCTCATCAACAAGGCTAGGTTTGAGTTTATTGTTTAAAGGAGCTAAATTGAGAAAGAAGTGCATGAATTTTGCTTACATACAAGACAAAATATGACACAACTTTCAAACCTTTCTACAAGCAGGACATAAGCCATTTTCATCTGTTCTTATCCGATGCCAGCAAAACCTGCAGATCTAAAACGAAAAATTCCTGGGTTAGGAAGACATTTCTTAAATCTATTAATTCCAAACCTACTTAAAACAGATCTTGCAAAAAGCATAATTTGCATTCATTCTCTTTCCATAAGTATATTCTTCTTTTTAGAATTTTTATTTAGAATCTTATGATGAGTTATAACTCAAGTCATGTACAGTATATTCTCTTGATGCTAAAAATATATTGATTCAGGAAAAAATTGGATGCAATTTGTAGTAATTATGTGAGAGAAAAAAGGAAAAAATTCTGTAAAACTGGAGACCAAGATTTTTCTATCTATTGAAAGGTAACACTTGTAAAACTGGTAAAGGAATACAACTTTCTCCTACTTAGTATTCAGTTTATGAAAATATATCCCACAATGATTTTGCAGTTAGATAACCCACTAGTTACCACGGCGTAGGTAACTACAAGTAAAACAATCTGATTTGCAACATGAGAGTTGCTTGTTTATAACAAGAAGCAAGGAAGGAACAGCACAATACATTTCAATATCTATGATTTTGTTCAAAATGATTTCAAGTGAAATTGAGCTCAAACTTGTGATTTGTTTTTCTTTAAGCATCCAGAGCCAAGTGGTAAACAAACTTAAATAGTTTGAGACTATTTTGAGCTTACAGCCAATTTAAATTACAGTGTCTAAGTGTAATAGTAACAACAGACAATAACCAGCTGAAGCATCACAAAGGTGAGGAATTCAAAGTTCAAAAGGAACATTTGCAGCCAGATACTCCTCTCAAGCTATATATATATATATATCACTTGTTCATGAGAGACAGCAAGTGGTATTTTTCAAATTCCTTATACCAATTTCTGTCAGTGTGAACATGGTGGCTTAGCTTTAGATCACATTAAATATATGACAGAGATTAGCACTCAAATGTACAAAACACACGTGCACCTAAGATCATAACTGAGATTGGAAAAGAAATGTAAATATATCAACAAATTATTTCTTGATATCTATAATGGACCTTTTGCTTCGCATTGGAGTTCAATTACTTGTAGCTTTTGTTATATTTAGGAAGAAATATTCCCGATACATTCAATCGAGTACGTATAAATTCACATATTCGATTGCTACCATCAGAGGGCGTTAAATGTTAATGATGAATTATACTTGTGTAAGAACGGCACCGACTCGAAGAAACCAAAATATTGCTCAACCATTGAACCTGAATATGGCACTCGTAAACAGCAAATCGTATTATGGCCAATGAATCTAACAGCTAAGAATTTAGAACAATATTTAAAAAGTGTATAAAGTCACAAGATATACATGTTTATGTATTAACATATTTGTACAATTACGCGTTAAGTTGTTTTGTACTGCATAGATCTGTTCACATGAGGCGTTACTCTATAAATCACCTCACATTACATTTACCTGATATCCACAAGTGCAAGGGAAGAAATTGACATCGTCGATTTCCAACTGTTCCATACACAACGGACACTGCGTAATAATTACAGAACAGACAATTTATTTAGAACTCCCGCCAATAAACTCGAGATCAGCCCCAAAAAACTCAGTAAAATTCAACAGCACCATTACCTCTGCATCTGAAGCTTGCATGATGATTTTGAAAAAGCCGTCAAGGTAGACAGTTTAGTCGCAGAAAGAAAAGGCAATTCGGTCTACAAAGTATTGTAGTTAATTTCTTGGCGGGCCGAAGTAGACAACTTTCTAAACGTCTCACCGGAAACAGAAAATGTCGGCGGAAATTGTCGGTGCGTTCGATGGAGAGCGAGTTCTTCTTTCCCTGAGATTCCGAACGATTCAGAAATCCCCAAATACAAGAAGAGATGAAGCAGGCAACTTCTATTTCTTGTGTATAAACTCTTGCCCTCTTACCCAATTTCCTTTCCTTCGCTTGTCATATCACGACTGTGTCATTTGCTATTTACGGCGCATGAGCCTCGCGCATATGACTAGTTTGTAACCGGCTGTGATTGCGGGCTATATGAAATGCGGTCTTAAATATTCTGCGATCTGATTGGTGGCCTAGTGGGTAAGATTGGTTTACATCGCGCCCTACTCGGAATTCCCCGCGAAAAATTGTTTCTTAGCAGTTAAAATTATGAGTAACTTATAAGTAACTCAAAACGTTAACAAGGGAAATTTTTGGGCCATTTTTGAAAAATAAAATGCTATGATGCCATACTAAGAAAAGAAGGCCTTCAGAGGAAATCTCAAGGAGAATTTTAAAAAAAATTCATAAATCTACACAGAAATTGCTTCGCGTAATCTTTTCATGTAATTTTCCCATTTTAACCAACCTTGTTGGGTAAAGGTCTTGGCGTTTCTATGACTTTAACCTGCTGACTTCGTCTTTCCATTTTAAGGATTTTTTAGCAGCTACAATTACACCCGCCTACCTTGATGGCCCCTTCACAATGGCGTCTGTTCATCATTATTATTAAACGGTCAATGGTTTTCACACGAGAGCAACATTTGACTTTGTAGTGTGATCGTTCGGGTGGGAGTAGTTCCGGCAAGGATTTTTTTTGGTAGTAATCCCTCGAATTTACTTCTGACCACCCCGTTCGTTTTACTTGATCCTTTTATCGCGCTTTGCAGCATTCAAGAATTGGTAACTTAACCCGAAAATTCAGCCCGAGCGACACTATGATTATCAGCTGAGTGTGGGCGGGTAAAAGTTTATAGACGGGGTTTTCACCTTAAAATTTTGGTGTTGGCACGAGTAACCTTCCTCGTTTCCACTGATAACCAAATCTTGGGAGCCGTGCGTCGCCAACCGTCAAACGCGAAAACCCGCAAAAGGAAGTCAAAAGAAGTTGCCACGGGAAACAGAACCAGTTGCCTGTGACGACAACACCATTTTAATGTCAAAACGTAATTGCCATACTACCGTCGCCTTCGCATATAGAGGTTGGGAGGCGTTAGGAGAACTTACACCATGTCATAACGCTGATGATCACGTTCCTATGAAGAAAGTCCGTACACATCTTCTAACAAATAAAAGTCTCAATTTTATTAACAATATATTCCTTGAACTTTTCGTCTACAAAAGAACATGTAATGCAACTAAAGTCGGAGTAGGAACAAGTGTTTAAAATACAAAATTACAGCCATATAAAATATGAAATATACACAAAAATAAGCTACGGTATAAAATTATGTCGCTTCATGATATTTCCTATTTTACAAAATGTGTTTCATTGAAATTTCTAATTCTTATCAATCATTTTCATTCGTTCATCTCAGAATTATTTTCATCCTTATTTTCAAATATGTGATATATCATTTAACCACTAAAATCAAAATTTAAAATCATGATCTAATTTCCTATCTAACTTGTTAGCATACGTAGTGATAACAAAAACAATTATATGACAGGGATAAGCGACACCTAAACGAATGATTGAAATACAATTAAGCCGATAATTTTGCAAATTTTTGGTGAATATTTTAGAGATTCTGAACACGACTCTCTATTACGTTTGAATCATAATTTATCATCAGTGAATTTTTGACAGGTTATAGATAATTGAGAGTAAATCTGAACGAGCTCGACAACTGTAGTTGCCGATGAGAACTTCATGACGTGCTGTTCTCCAAAATATGCTGAACGTTTTTTCTAAAATTATTACAAGGAAAGTTGAGAAGTTTTGAGTGATCTCCTTGGGTCCGTTTATCCAAAAAAATGCTGTTTCAAAATGACCAAGATTAGTTTTTTCAGGGAATTTCCAGCGCGAAAAAAGTTAATCAAATAAAATTGTTGGAATTTACTCTCGAAATTGCCATATTCAAGCCGTAAGTGATAAGAAGATCGCGCAAAATATCCTCTGGATTTGTTTCTGTACATTTTTTCGAAGAAAAAAGTTTTTCAGTTTCTATCTTTGTGATATCTAAATGGCTGCTTCTGTAAGAAGTGAATTGATAGAAGGAAGTATTCCTGGTTCATCAACACAATCCATCTTTTCCAACTCACAGTCGCCGTTAAACAGCTTGTGGACTGTCATGTTGATGTATTCCTCATTTTCGTCCGTGTGCTCCCCGACCCCGACTCCCTCATCCAACATTCCTGGCGCTTCAGAGTAAACCATACTGCAGGCCATCAAAGGAACTTCTGCGCTTGTGCTCACGTGCTCCACGTGATTGCGTGATGCGTGTTGCGTGACTGGCATATAGTAGCCTTGCATTACTTGTGGATAAGGTACGTTTGCGTGATTCATCATCGCGTGATATGGCGAGGGACCTGAATGACCAGTACCATTTTCAACGTACTGTTGACTGTGATCATAGCCCTAGAATGGGAAAAAAGGGAATAGGTTACGAGCTCATTGAAATCCAAAACGCGAGTTACTTGTTTTTCTAAACTCTGATCTAGCAAGGATAAATACTGTATATAATATGCATTTCTTTGGTTAAAAAACCTACAATAACAATAACGATCTAACACAGGATTTCAAATTCTAGTGTATCTATTATCAAAACTCTTACCAGCCCAAATGAATAACAGTGATGCGGCATAGAATCAATAGAGTATAATTCAACGGCTTACACTGAGCTAGACTAAGGAAAAATCTTAATGACCACTCGCTCTAATTTGTCTGAAGAGAGTGATTGTACTATTTCACTCGCCCTTAACTTACATTAGCCATGTAACAACTCTCGTTAGTCGCCGGAGCCTGGTACCGATTTGGCGCCACGAACCCACCGAGCCCGCAGTTATTGAAGTGCTGCGCAACCAGGCTGTCAATCGCCTCAGATGAAGGGTTTACATCGCCGTGTATGGCATATCCCCAAGGCTGCTTTTTCTCGCCTAAGGCTGTGTACGTCACTTGTGAGAAGTTGCTGTTCCCTAGAGCGTTTCTGGGTAATCCTGTCGAAACCGCTGGTGACACAGGTGGCGTGAGCACAGGCGCTTGAGGCATTCCATTGTGACCAGAAAAGTAATTCTCCTTAGGAGACGGCATAATAAAGGCGGTCGACTCCAGCGGTGTAGGTGGGAAACCATTCATCGCAGGCGACATCGGTTCACTCATCATAGAGCATGCGCTCAGGCGATGAGAGGACAGTTTCTTGGGCCTTGGTTTCACGCCATTTAGGTGATCACGTGACTTCGTCCGCTTGTTGCGATTGGACGGACGACAAGTGTATTCAGGTTCTTCGACTTCAATCTTAGGAGGCAGTTTGCCTCCGTTGAGTACAACGCTATCGGGAACTGTGAACTTTGTTTTTGTCACAACGGTTTGTACTCGAAGCGGAGATTTTTCTTTGTCGACTCCCTCACCTGAAGAAGAGAAATAAAAGAAAAGAGTGATAAACTTAGAACTTTACGGATAAAGCTTCAAGACCATCTTCTCTTACCGCTACTGAGATGTAAAATATAAAACCAAGAGCCCGGTATGGCGACTTTTCATTTTCATTTAGCTAGACATTATCCGTAATAGTAGGGATAACCGCTCACACATTTTGAGATGCCTGTCCAACATTTCTTGTAGCTTCTCCTCCGTTTCGTTGTAGAATTTTGTTTCAATAACGAGCAGCATATACTCATCAAGAAGCATTCTGATGAGGTGAAATGAACCTTAAAATAAATAAGAAATTTTTAGCAAAACAAAGCATCGAGAGGCGCATTACGGCATGAGTGAAATAAAGAAATAAAAGTGTGTTGGTGTGCAAAAATTCTGAGTACGGAGCCAATAAAGAATTTTTTATATGAAGAGCAAATAGCAAAAACTGAGTGCCTTGGTTGTCTGTTCAAACGATTTCCTGAGTTGGGTTTTCTTTTAGAAGTAAAGTTAAAATAAAGACGGCTTATATGGTTTGCTTTTGCAGTGAAAGCTATTTTCAATCTTTTTGGTGACTTTGGACCCGACTAACGAGAGCTACAGGCCTTTCACGCAACAAAAACGCAAAGGTTAAGCTAATAATGTGACACAGCTTCGGATAACGGTTAAAGCTTCTTATTTCACAGGGGATAATCGATAACTTGAGCGGATAACCTCGCCCATACGTAAAGATTTTCTAAGTTTAGCGTACTAACCGAAGTGCGTCGAGGCGTTCAGCGTAAGATTGTGCATCAGCCTCGCTCCTAAGAATGACCATCTTAAAAGAAACTCCTGGGCTCGGCTTTTGAAGTCGTCACTAGTGCCTTCGCAGGGCTGCAATAGTATGCAACGTGGATTATCATTAAGAATTAAAAACAAACAAGAGAACAAATACTTTTTGAAATAATACTATATCAGATTTTTGTTAAATTTACAGCCCTCAATTAAATTATCTAGCCAATCCTTCTGACCTCTGAAAGAGCAGGTAGTTTATTTGCGCAGTTTCCGACTTTGCGTGCTCATCACATGCTCATTTCATGTGCATCAAGTGCACATCATGTACGCATGGTGATAACGTACCCTAATAATCTTTGTCTCGACCAGTCTATCTAGCCATTCCACGTAAGATTCCAAAGGAGCTTGTTCCCGCAGCAGTTCCACGAAATCTTGGAGAACTAAAAAGGTCAATGCAAGGCAACAAAAAGAAAAATTAAAATACCAAACGCCTCAATTTCGTGAAAAATGCTTCTGGAGACGATGAAACTGGAGTAGAAAGGTTTCATTTGTTACTTACATTCATTATCAAACCCATCCTCGCATTCCTTCTCAGTCTTTGTGTGAACAGTTTGTCTTGCACTGTTTCCATTGTCTAGCTTCTCAACGTCTTTAACCATGTGATCGACAACCTCTTGATTTGCTAAAACGGGTCGTGCGGTCTGGAAAATAAACACAATGCAAATTATACCTGCCTCGTGATTCAGACTGCTTCATTATGCTGGGACCTTAACGATATGGTCGGTAGAGTCTCTCTTCTGACTGCTAAAAGTTACGTTGTAAATCAGTTCGGAGAATTTGGTATCATATTAAGATAAGACCCTGTCGCTTTTAACTTTGTCTATTCTCGTCAGCTGTTCGCTGGATGATGTATCGAAATCGTACGGAGAAATTATACATACAATTTCTCTCAGAGCTAATTATATCTCAAGGTTAACTTGCATCCTTTGAGACTTTTTTTCCGTTATTGCAATTGGCGTTAAGTATCCTTGATAAAGATTTCCAAGAGTTCAAAAGAGTTCAAGACATAATCTTGCCTAGAGTTACTTTAGGTTCTCTCTGCTGGCTCGGTTTTCTTACCTGTGCAAGATGCAGGAAAGATGTCTGTCTTCTCAGTGACTGAACAAAACGTCTCACAGCTAAATATAAAACAGAATAAAAGATGAAATAAGAAGGCTACTCTAAAGAGAAATAAGGAATAATATGTCAGAAATAAACGTTAAATAAATTTCCGGTCACAATGTTATCAAACCTTGAATTTTTCCCATTTTAAGATAATCCGGTAGCTCAACTGTAGCAGCTATTACCCAGGACTCCAAATGTCTCGCGAAGGTCCTAATATCAGCGAGGAGACTGAAATGAGAGATAAAAAAATTAAACAATGTTTAATTTGCAATTCAAGCATAAGATTATAGTTCATCCGAAAAAGGCATAAATGTCAGTTTACCCTTCTGGCACGTCTTGCATTGTAGATGGAACCAAAACATCCATGAGAACCTGACAAGAAACGGAATTAAAAAATAGATTATTTTGACGTCAATGAAGATAGTAAACTTTAAGCCTCGTGATTTTCAAGTGAATGATAATGTTTTTTAGTGAATGCACGGGTATACTCGGATAATAAAAACTACGAGTTCTCCCATTCATAGGAGCCAAACCTAAGACCTTCCGGACGCTCTACCACTGAGCTGTAGAAGGCTACAGTGTAACTATGTCCATAGTGACAAACTTCCCTTGTACAGCTAGGATAGGAATATCGATATAGTGCTTCCACGCAAAGTTGACTATTTCACTGACAACATTCCTAAAGAAAGGCCTAAAAAGCCTTTGAATGTAATTTTCAAATAATAGAATCATGATCGAGGAAGTAAAAAATCTGACTGAGTTATATTAATCATTGCATATTTCTTTGAGATGAAAGCTGATAAAAGAAAAACGCAAAACTGAAATCTATTCTTCTGGATGAACAGACACTAGATTTATAGAATCGTTTATTTGAGTACCTTGTATAAAATTGAGTCACAAACACAAATGACATCAGCAACGACCTCTGTGTTCATCAGTGGCAGAAGGTGATCGGGCATTCCTTGCCAAAAATGGAGAAGAAAATTTTTTATCTGAAATGAGACGCAGAAAGCATGTCATCTTGTTTAGTCAGGTTGGACTGTGCACAGCTAACTTTAAAAACGCCTGGAAAATTCACTAAGGATAGACGCACGAACCTCTGGGAGTTGAGTGCACGAAAAGTAGCGCCTCACTCTTAGAGTTCCGCGCGACGCGCTTACATCATTTTTTTTATCGACGATTTTTCTTAACTCGCGCGACGATCTTAGTCGAAAAGAAGGAAATGCTCGTAGTTTATCTTTAGGGTGACTACTTATTTCATTACAATGAGGAGTTTTTTAAGGACAGTGAGATTACCAAGGCACCAATGGTATGGGACAACCTGTATGACAAATCATTCTATGAACCTCGCCAGTTGTATCAGCTTACCTCATCAAAATTTGCATTAATTGCAGTGTCCAGTATACATTGACAGTGAGTCTTGTACATAACTACGAACGTTTCAACCTGAAAACATGTTAAAAGTCGTATGCACAGTTTTAATACCAAAATTAAAATATTGTCGAAGTTTCATTTCGATTTTAACCCCCCTAAATACAACAATTATTCAACGAGTAATTCCTCTCCTAATAATTTCAAAAGAATATTTAGTAAATAGGTGATGAGAATGGAAAAAAAATCTTATCAACAGGTGGTGCTTCCTTGAAGAAACACCAAATGCTTTAGAATGATCCAAGAGGAAATATGTGATAGCTGGAAGGGATAATTTCGCATTTTGTCATGGTAGTCGCCAGGGAATCTATGTTAGCATATCTATAGCTGCTGAAATGGTGTATTATAAATTTGTATAAAGAAAAAGAGAACATGGTTCTACCTGGCTGTACAAGCCGCGCACTTGACATCTTTCTCTTGCATTTTTAAAAACATATCAACTAGAGATTTTAACCCTTTACTCCCTAAGAGTGACTCGCATCTAATTTCTCCCTACAATATCAACCCTGAGTCACATATTTGGGTCATGAGAATAAAGGTAATGATCACCAGCTAAAGAAGCTCTTGACTGTTAAACAAATTCTCCTTGTTAGCAACTTAGGAAACGTGTAAAGAACAGTATGGAGAATATGCATACTGATGTTAGGGTGGAAAGGGATAGTGTAATGTGACCACACAATACTCAGAGGCAGGAAAATTCAAATAGATAATTGATGTTTCCTGTTGTAAAAACTCATTACCTTTTCTAATGATATTTTCTCCGGTAACTCCAGTAGCCTTGGATTTGGGAAATCTGGTAACAGTGTTCCAGTTTTGGAGCTGAGTGAGTATTTTCGAACTGAAAATGAGCCCTGCAAACAAGAAAGTAACTTAATGACTGTAAATATATGAAAATCAGATATGTGCACTGCGGTTGAAGAAACGAATATAGAAGTGATCCTTGCAGTTATGAACACTACTGAACTAGTAGCTGAAATAAAGCCTGAAAACAATCCAGGGCCGTACGGGATTTGAACCCATGACCTCTGCGATACCGGTGCAGCGCTCTACCAACTGAGCTATATTCGTTTCTTCAACCACAATGCACATATATGCTTTCATATATTTACAATGATTATTCACCACTTAGGGGGTTTATTTGGAACCAACATAATGACCAGCTCCCAGTTGGCTTGTTAGCTCAATTGGTAGAACGCTGCAACGGTATCGCAGAGGTCATGGGTTTAAATCCCGTACGGGCCTGAATTTCATCAGGTCTCATTTCAACTACTAGTTCAGTAGTGTTCATAACTGCGAGGATCGCTTCTATATTCAAAGAAAGTATCTTGTTTATTAGTATCATGCATGAGGTGTGCGTTAACGAAAAGAAAAAATATTTAAGGAAAGATATTAGAACATTGGTAAATAGTGTGTGGGCAAAAATAATTAAATCTCGCACTGAGGAAAATTGCTCATTTAAGTAAATCTTAGCAATAACATATCACGTTTTTGGTCGTGAACAGTCTTTACCTCATTCTTGACTTTTGACCCTGAAAATCTGTTTGAAATGGAAAGATTGATGAAGATATTAGATTAAACTGAAATTTTAGAGAGGCAGACGGTTAGATATATACCGTCGTGAATCACTTTTTCAAATAATTTCGGTCACCGTGCATCAGTGAATAGTTTGAAGCCGGAGGTATATGAGTGTAATTTTGGCTATCCCTGCATTTCCTTGAGAAGCAAACTTTTACTTGGGTATCCTGTGAAATCGAAACGTGGCGAAACCTACACATCATGTTTTGTATGTGGGTCAGTGGTGCTATCAGCGGTGGCTGTTAAACGCTTTCAATCATCAGATTTTAGTAGTGATTCTCCTTTCCATTTGCCATATGTATTAACTAGTGTTAGATCTGAGAATATAGTGGTAAATCAGATAATATCCCCCTGTTGAAATTCTTCTTTAATATCATCGAAAATCTGTGTACCATTGTGTTGGTATTGTAAAGAGAAATTACATCTTGGTCACTCTTTGCAATGAAAGGACAAACAGAATCGCACGAAAACAAGCCTGTGAGTGCTAGCGGCCTGTGTCAGGCTTACATTCGGAGAAGGCAGGACAAAAAATAGCGGGAGTTTGGGAACAAACGCTCTTTCCGTTGCCGTTTCCCCTGACAACCGTTCAGCCTCGTTCGCCCTTTAGTTTGCATGTCTCTTCTGATCGCGGGCGCGGAATGAACTTAAGCCGTGCTTTTATATATTTCAGTTGTTAAGTCTAGAATTTCTTTGTTGTAATTTGAGGTAGAATAAGTCTTCTAAATTGACTCGCCGTTCAGTCGCTCCCGTTCCTATGTTTTGCCCAATTACAAAGGAAACATTGGGAGAAAAACACCCCTTTTAATGTAAAAGACAATTAATTCAGCAGTATGCAAACAGACCACACACCAAGAATACCTCTCTAAAAATACTCAAAAGTCTGGTTTAAATGGAACTTTGAAAAAACAAAATCATTCAGATAGAAAAAAAAATCGAAGTGGCGTTTAAGTTTGCGAGTGAATCATGGAAATCAAAAACAGCTGGGGCGTTTTATTGAAGAGTTAAAAAAGCTTTAAAATCATAAACGTTAGCCGGGCTTGACCTCTCGGCTTAAGAAAGATTATGGGCTGTAAAGTATTTTGATCTCAGCTGGTTACCATTTAAGAACACTCCTACGCACGAAGTTGTCAACTCTTTTATATACACATTTATATAGTAGGGGTTTCAATAACGTTTTCAGTCCACAAGCGGTTGCCGATGGTGAGATGGGCTGGGCGGCTGTGCCGTAAGTCGAAACCAAACACACGAAGTTACTCGCCAGCGGAACAGACGGCGGTGCGAGGTCCTACAGGCGGCGGCAAACCGCCAATAACCGGTTTAAATGGAAACCCCTGAGAGAGTCTTAGTCATGTATATCTTTGCTTTTATGTTCTTTGGGAGTAACATATTTTTCTATTCTTAGGCGATTCATTTTGGTGTCCCTCCGGAGCTCAATTAATGCTGTATTGTTCGTTAAAGTAACTGACTTTGTGTATAGCCTCCTTAATTTAAAAGGTGTCAAATGATTAAGTGACCTTGAAATAAATGGAACAACTTAATTTCTAGATGTGTACTTAATTTAAGATGGAGGAAAGACCTCAACATCACATATGTCTGCAAACGGAGAAAATTGCATTGTAAGACCGCAGATTTACGCTATTTTTTGCCACGTAATTTTTCTACTGTGTTTAAAGTTTACACTTCTTTACATTACAAACTTCCGTTTTTCATCCCCGACGAGTTTTGAATAAGAAAGAACCGGCATTTCTATTGTCTTTTCAATAAACAAACCCCATTATTCTACAGAAACCCATTTAATTACACAGCTCAAAATAAGCAGCGAGATGTCGCTTGGTATACCATGACAAGAAGTCAATACGGAGAATTATTTCCCTCACCTCGTTAAACCTTTGCCTGAGTATACCGAGTGATAATAAGCAGAGGATTCCTTGATACCTATTCCGTAGTAGTGATATCTGAGAGAGATGGCAAGAGATTATTGTTAAGTGCTCGTTTAAATAAACGAAATCTTGGAAACGATTAGCGATTCAAAAAACAAATTGGTTCAGTCAATGCCATCGTACTTTGAATGACCGCGGGTTCCCAGCCTTCTTGTGGTTAGTTGAGGAAACTTCAGTCGTATCGTCTGAAAATAAAAACAAAATAGCTTAAGATTTCTAGCCTGTATTACCTGCTGTCAAAAAGTTCGAGATTTTAAACCCAGAAAATCATAAAAATCTCTAGAGAAGACATACACTCTGAATTGTCTTCTTATGGCACAGTCAATTTTGTTCCGGAATAGATTTTCCTTTATTTGGAACATTTATCGAGAAACTAACTCAAACCCACCAAAGAGAATTTGATAATTACTCTGTCATCAGAAAGGTATCTTCTTTTGCTAAGCATTGTCTTCTTGTATGACTTAAATAAATTATTCAAAACAATTTCAGTTCAAAATAAACAAGGATTACAAAAACACATCTTCGACCATCATGTTTAGGAATACAACCAGCAGCGAAAAACTTAGCGCAAAAAAAATGTCCAAAGTTTATCGCTTCAGGTTGATACAGCGAGTCGTACGAAAACTTTTCTCTCGTATAAATTTCAGAGTTTTAAGCTTAATAAAAAGGAATCAATTTCATCATCACTTCTTGTCCTTTGCATACAACCAGTGAAGAACGTCGGGAAAAGTCACGCGACTGGCAACATGGTTATTTTCATTCGCTGGACGTGATTGGCCGAGCTTACAGGTAGTGTGCATGTCTATGATTGGATGAGAGAGATACGCTGGCTCTTTGCTGAGTGTAGTATACCAGTCAAATGCGCTCTTGCCAAAAAAAAAATATCGAATAAAATTACCTTTCCAAACGTTGCAGCACATGCTGCATCGACACTATGCCTTCGACAGAAGTCCAGATAATGAGCGTACAGAATACAGCGTGGAAGGCAGACACCTTCACACATTACATAGTTTTCTTCAAGCCTGTAAAAGCAGTAGAATTATATAACATTTATGGTCAAAATTTATATATCTTTGCAATATACCCATGCTTAACTGCAACAAAAAAGTGCTCTTTTCGAAGCAGTGACATTTGCCTTGTAAGGAGGACCAGAGAGTAATTCATTTATCTGTCATTCATTCAATCAAAGGGCGTAAAAGATGTATTCAGTTCAGATTTCGTTTTCACAATTCTCTAGGCAGTCACTGGGAAGAGTTTTAACTCCGTAAACATTGAAAAAGTGCGTCTGAATTGGTTCACAACCAATAGATAGCAAACTGCTCAGGTGATATATGTTGGATAAGCTTGCTGGAAATTAGTGAAAAACCGCTTAGTAATTCGTGTAAACGTTCAAAGAGACTACAGAACTTTAGAAACATCTTTGCGTGACGAATACCACACCCATTGATGTATGTGGGAGACGACTGGACTTCACACAATGTTTCTTTATCAAAGACTCGGTTTTCTCGGAAAGAGGAATTAGCTATATCAGCTTTTGAAGGGTTTTTAGGAATTTGCCGAGAACATTTTCATTTCCCAAGCTCTGTATTTCAGAATAATTCAAGTCCACCCATTTATTTCCTCGGTGACTCATTGTTTACGTTTAACTCAATATTTTGGTTGGCATTAGCACCGAGCAAGGCCGCATTCTTTCAATCTTTTATTCGAACAACAAACACTGAAGACGTCAAATGTCTCTGTCATTATTTATTTACAAGATGGAATCCAATCGACCTTTACACCAAAGTATTTTGGTGGAAAATTCTCCGTAGAAAATTCTCGATAGAAGAGTAATAGATAACATGTTAAGATTAATCTCTTGTTTTGAATATCCGTAATAAGATGAACGCGAAACAAAGGCATAATTCCTTGACTTTTGACCAAACAAAAGAATAGTTTTAAGTATCAAGGTTACTCTAAACCATCTAAAATAATGCTAAATATAAGTATGTTTCTGACCTTTAATAAGAAATAATGTAATCTCGTATTAAAGCCATTATTTGATGTGAGGAGAATTTTCGAGTCTGTTAGTGCAATAACTCTTACTTCCTAAGGGGAAAAAATGAGCGTCGAATCCTTTTTTAGGCAATCTTTTTCTTCTCTTTTCAGAAACTTAAAACGTCATAAAACTAACTGCAATCCACTGGTAAATTTTCACATTTTTCTCCAAGAAACTTTCCTAACCCGATTGTGGTAGAAATAAAAAAATCGTGCCTCCGGTGAAATATTTTTCGAGCACCCCTGTCATGTGCTCAAAACGGAAAGACACATCTGTTTTGTGATCACGTATGGTTTCCTAATTTGTGGCCTAATCTCCATTCTTTCCGTGACGTTATTTTATTTCCAAACGTCTAAGTTTTAAGAACATCATGACAATTTACATTTGAAGTGTTCGAATTAAAACCCGCTGGCCTCCAAGGGTTCGAGAATTTGTTTTCCGGTCTTTTGTGATCACGACGCTTTCAACAAATTAATTGAATCGAGTTCAACCGCAAGATTTTAACGCATAGCACGTCAGCTTAAAGAGGGAAGGAATTTCTTTCCCGTCGTAAACAAACTGTCTATCCGATAAGTTACCTTGCCCTTGGAACGAAAGTGTCACGTACATAGCAGAATTTGAAAATGCTGTAACTGTTTCACTTAAAATCAACAGGTGGTAACTTGTAAATTGCTCCTGTCATCAGACACTTTCGCTAAACTAAAATCTTCATTGATTAATTTTCCTACAACGACAGCTTGTATACCATATAAAAAATAAGTCAGAAAATTCAGAAAATATTCTGGAATGAAATGAATGTACTTCCCTCGAAATGGTAAAAAAAATTGTGTACAAAATTTTGCTGCAAGGTCTACAACTCCCAACTCGAAAATCCATTAAAAAACATTTAGAAACATGAGCTCCCTAATTGTATTTTCTTTAACAGAAATTTGCTAAAAGCATTTTACCAAAGCAAGTGTCTCTTTTGTTGATAAAGTCTTAAGAAATTCCGGATGGCACAATTCTGTAAAATAATCCACGTATTTCTGGCTGGGTGACATGGGTTAATATCTAGTCCAAGACTAGTGTGCGTCAAAGCTTTTGTGTACCATAATGAACGTCAATCGATGAAAGGTTTAGGCGCACTGTATAAGACTTGTTTACTTACAGACTTACAAGCTGTTAACCGAAAAGAAATATTCATTTATTTTACGCCTGACAGAGTTGACTTAAGCTGACAGCTACGAACCTCAAGTTTGCTGAAAACACCAAAATAGAACTCTCAAGAGTATCAATGATATCAACACAGTTAATTAACGGCTGAGAGATACTCCTTGTCTAAATAAGTTCAAAAGATTTTGCTGACGGGGTTTCTAAAGAGAACGGCATATTAAATTGAAAAAAAATATTCTGTGCAGTAACTGGTGTTGTTTGCAGTTCACGCTGTTACTTCAACTAAATTACTAGTAATGTGGTTTTTCAATTTTTGTCTTCCGCCGAATTTCCGGACGTAGTTAAACACGTGTGAAGATTCACAAGATTTTGTAGAAACCACATCTAGCAAATTAGTGCCGATATTAAGGCAGTACGCACAAATCGCTACAGACAATTTTTTAAAATATGAAATCAGTGTTGTGGAAACAAATTGATCTGTGACATGCAAATAGGATGAAAAGACTGTGTTTACAGTAAATACTACACAGTAAAAATGTGAATTTATTTAAAGCATGACATAACTTCTATTAACCTACTAAAACCTTGTTAATAATAGTAACTGGATCTACAGAGCGATTTTGATGATACAGTTGCTTTTCGTTTAAAGTTATTTTTGGATTTTTTTTCTTAACGAAAAAATGTTAGTTTCTGTCGTCCTAGTTGGTAAGATGTGCAAATTTGTTTTGAAGTGCTTTGCGGTTTTCACTCAAAATTTTTTGCACCTAGATCCCTTAAAAGAAAGCGTTGCCGTTTGAAAGAAAGCAGAGCCGAACTAATTGTTAATAACTGAAAGAATTAAGAAGTGTTAGAAGTGTGAATTGGAATCTTCAGCGGCACTTGAAACGGTGACACCTTTACAGGAAACCATAGTCTTACAACAAAGATTAAACCTTACCAAAGCAATGTTTCCGTTAGTTGTTCTTTCTTCGTTTTCGGAACTCTTCCCTTGCTATCTTTCATTATCAACTCGGTGTCTGTAAAAAAAGAAAAACTGAGCTGACAATGGGACAGGAAACCAACAAATTTGTTTCTATCAACACGCTTGTAATCTTACGAACGTTTGTTTGTCAGCGCAGACCTTCTGGAAATGAGCGCTAGCCACTGAAAGTATGCCTCAATTTTTAATCCGATATTTACGTGAGTGATGGTAGACTTATAGCTGATTCATGGCCACGAAATAGCCTCATAAGCAGCTTCAATATTAAGTCGAGACAATGCCAAGTCATTTGTCGTGAAGCCCTTCAATTCAGTGACAGTTAATCCGCAGCACTCAAGTTCAAATAGCGCTCTGAAGTTCATACACATGAGACGTTTTCATTTTTACGCGCCGTGCTCTATACCATGATTTCTTAATATCACTTTTTTTCGAACGTTTGCGCATTTTCTTCGCTTGCCTGAGCCGAAACTGTTGCAATAAAACCAGGCGGGAACGTTTTCAAAACATTACAGTGCGACTTGCGTAAAAGCGCAGTCAGGCAAGCAACTCGTTCACTCACAACATTTCGTGCGAGGGAATTTCAATCAGCAAAATCTAACTCTCTGAAGGGTAATTATATAGACAATGGCATGGATTAATTTTGATTCTAAAAGCTCTTATGGAGCGTAAAACTTTTAAATATCTAATGGCGGTCATTCAGCCATGGTAGCTTATGGGGCTTACACCGTATGTTTCTAACAAGCTTTCAAGAATATATTCACTCTGAATGGAACACAACGTGTGTTGCCTTCGGCAAAATAGTGACGTAATGCTACAGAAACTTGACTGTATTTCTTTACGTCAGCAAAAATAGAAAATTATCATTGATTGCTTCTTTATAAAATGAATTGTTCCACTTTGAAAAAGTGTAACGGCTATCTCGTAAGCTGGTAGATGCATACGGAAATATTGCTAGAAAAAAACGTACCTATTTGTTATGACCGACGGTTGACATCACCTTTGTTCCATGCTATTGAGGTTTATTAAGCGGACACAAAAGATAGTAATTATATATTTTTGTGGTATCAAAATACTGATGTACTTTTACATACCTTCGGTCTGTTCCTCGAATTGCCCATGTAATTTCTTGTTGTTAGGCGTTTTTTTCGTTTTAAGTTTACATCTTTTCACTCGCGAGACGAATTCTCTCTTTTCAAAATCGCTCACGCCGATTTTATTGCTTGACTGGTCAGGTACACGACTTCTGTTCCTCGTGCTGGGCATCGCGACTTTGTATTCGCTCTGATTTGTAAACTGTAAAATACGACCCGTGCGGTCAGCTATACACCTCCCGTTGAGTCAGAACGAAGAAAGAACTATCAGAAAGAAGAACCACCGACTTTTAGATCGCTTTGTCTAGAAACACAGAGAGCATTAGTTCATGCAAAAGAAGGGTGAATGTAGATGTCTGCGGCGGATTATTTGAGCGAAAGCATCTGTAGTCATCAACTGAGGTGCATAATTAGAATGAAGTCTGCAGTCAAACACAAAAGACTTGTTATTGCCATTTGACGGTTCCTGAAATCATTCATGAATTATTAATGCACAGCAGGCGCGAGCAAGTGAAGTTGTTACGTCATTTATTGCCTCAACCCACGCATTCGGATCTTAATTAAATAATTATCTTTGTTTCTTTCTCTCGTGCCAGTCGCGACCAATCACGGCACGGCTACTAATTGAACCCTTGCCACCTTCAACAAAAGGATTTTTGGTCACCATGGCAACTGCCGCCGAAACAAAGAAACTCGAAAAGCTTTACGCTTTAAGTTTGATCTGACTGTCAACAAAAGTTATGGCGTTTGAATGTTGCCCTTTGTGTAACCATCGGCTTTGCTCAGAAAGCGATTGTGCAACGGATTTCTTGTATTGTACCCATGTGGCTAACAAATAATTCAAGTGTATAATTAAAACGAGCGTTTTCTTCTATCGTTTGTAGAGAATGTTTCGAGAAGACATTAGAACAGCCAGACTTACAAAGCAATTCGCTAGAAAATCTGTCATTGTTGTAATATCTATGGCCTAGAGTGCCACTTGATTCCAACATTTTATCATAATATCGTTTTAATCCATCCTAAGCCGTTTTGCACTTTCCTGCAGTTTAATTGTGATAAGGTTTGTCATTAACGAGACAATTGTGGCTTTTACTGGATCAAAAGATTTCCTCGACCACTTGTTTATAACGGGAAATTTTCGATACCACATCCCTTCTATTGTGCGGTAAAAAATGCAGAGTGGACGAACGTGACACACGACTCAAGTACACGCGTCATTTTCCCGCCGTTTGACGCACGCGGCCGCGGATGCCATAGCGCGGATCAAACATCACTCGCTCGCGTGCATAAAATTACAAAAGCCCCATACCACATACAAAGATTTTTGTTTGCTTTGCATGCAGTTTTCATCTTTTTTGGGAAGAATATTCATAATGAATGCATTTTTTCCAGTGGAAAGACTTTTGCTGCGAGTGTCAAGTACATTACGGACGAAATCTTAATGATTGAACGAATTTGGAGGTTTGCAATGCTGACTGCAAAACCACACCCATGATGACAAAACAAATTCAATTTCAAAGTAACAACTTGGCTGATTATTAAGCAGTAACATATCGACTGAAATAAGAAGAAGTTGTACTAATCAAACGATAAAAAATAGACATCTAAGTGTAAATCAAGTTTACCGGTGAGCTTTTTGGTGAGAAAAGCATAATGAACTTTCTTTGCGACGAAGTCGACAATTGTTTCGCCTGAAGCGTTTTCGATTTGTTCCAGATGATTAAAATTGTTCCAATTTATTACACAGGTTGACTTATCTTCAAAAATTGAAAATTCTGTCTGTTTTTCGAGACTTAACTGAACGATGAAGAAGTTTGATTCAGAAACGAGCCCCAGGAATTTTTAGAAATTTTTGTTTGAAGCAAGTTCAAGGACAAAAAGAAAAATTCCAATTCAAATCTAACTGTTCTAAAACAATCAAAAAAGACTTCATACCATGCACACTTACTGACGAAAATTTATCCTAGGACGTGCTTTTTGTCACATACTTTAGTCAAACCAAATAATTTCTCATGATCTTAACTGGTACGTTTATCCACTTCAATTGACTGAGTTAAATTATGCTTATTTAAGACTGTTTCAGCCGATGTGAGTGAAACAACGGAAATTGAACCTTGAAGGTTTAAGCAAGATTTTGCGGTAATGTGATTACGAAGCTTTGAAACAATCTCCATCCGTAGTGAATGAAACCAAATCAAATCGTGAGCTTTCCTTCCAATCACTCCCTGACTATCCTTGAATATTGAGTGACATGTTCAGCTTAAATTCTAACCGTGAAGAGAACACATTCGTTCAAATTAGATTTAGACTCTATTTGCTCTATCAGTTGTACTACTAACCTTTCTAGTTAGGGTTTTTCCCTCACTGATCAGCTGCGATATAATATGGTTTCTCAAAGCCAATAAGATATCACAAGATTTTTCTTCAAATGTAAGCATGAACTTTATTGCTTACTGAACTGTGGACAGAATGGAGGCCGAACGTGACGGTATGCCAAAATTGGGATAATTTTTACGAAACAGATAAACAAACCATAGCTGAAACAAAACACAGAGTGCGACACCAACCATGACTGAAAAATCAAAAGAAAATCATTTTTTTTAAGCAGAAATATTTTCTTCCATTAACACTCTGCACGCAACTTTTTAGCTTCGGGGACAATTTCGATAAAAGCGTCTTTAAGGAGGAAAACATTATCGCGAGAAGTTTCTAGGAAAGAAAGTGATACCATTCATTCAAGAAATTCTCAAGAATGGTTCTCTCTTGTCTCTAAGGTTGGAAGTTCAAAAAGGACGTGACAGACAAAAAGTGCTGGTGCCGCCATATTTATCTCGCTTAGAGCCACGCGATAGTCAGTGAAATTTTAAGTTTGCTTCACTCTTTCTCCATCCTTTTTCCTTCATCAGTAAGAAATTTCACTTCTATGTGCTGGTTCGTGCAGTTCCGTGTAACGAACATTTTTTGCCGGAATTCATTCCGCTCGGGCTACCGCAGCCTACGCGCATAATCGACAATAAAAAAAAAAATGAATGACAACAACGCGGAAACAAGAAGCAAACACAGTAACGAACAGAGAAACTTTGTGAATCACGTAAAAGTCAAAAACATGAAAACGAAGAGAAGGAAAAACTGTGAGAAAGAGAAATTTCTTAACTGATCAAAATTATCATGATAGCATGGCCGAAATGATGAAGACTTTCAGTGGTTAATGATCTGTTTAAGATTTAAGTAAAACTGCAGACAAATTGATACAAGTTAATTTAGATAGGTTAAAACTGAACTTTACTAAAGACCGAGGAGAACTGAAAAATAATCTGGAAACTTGTTGAGGAATACAAATTTACGTGGAGCGGTTTTTTTTTCTTCTATTCTTTTCGGTAGCATGAATCGAATTGCTAAAGTTAGTAGGGTAATTTAGTATTATCAACTCAGTTGATAACGTAAATTGGCCACCGTAAAGAATTTCAAAGTTTACGTTTCTTGCTTTAGCCCTTCGCCAATCGCTCTGACGAAGGGCTAACACTCGAAACGTCAGCTTTTTAACTCTTTAAGGTGGCCAATTTACGTTATCAACTTAGTTGATAATACTAAATTACCCTGTTATACTCTCCCACTGACGCAGCGCCACAGTTTCTTTAGAAACTTACCCTCTTCATTGCTAAAGTTAGTATCTGAATGCACTCTTCAAGACCGTTAAGGACTTTTTTCAATGAGACATATCGTGAAACTGAATTGAGAATGAATTGTGTGAAATTTAACAATCAAACGCAAGGAAATTGAAGTAATTACAGGTCTTACGTTTGATTCGTGACAACAGAGAAGGAATTCACCTTCCTAAATGGAATACGTTCAGTTGAAAATCAGTTAGGAGATTTTAACATCACATCAAGAACGCATTCTGACTTAGACGTCTGTCTTTATCTCACCTTTTTCTCAAAAAGTGGATCGATTTCGTCTGAGAAAGCTAAGTGCATTTCAGTCAGTGCTGGCTCTATTAGAATGAATCGATGTTGTGGGCACAAAAATTGTCATGCAGATAAAAGTTGATATATTTTTAGGATGAATTGAATACTTCTGGCAGCAATGACCTGAGTTATTTTTTTGCTGTGGTAAATGAAGTGTCTGTTTGTTTAGAACTACAGGCAAAGGTGACACGGAGTTTATAGAAACAAAAACATGGTGTACCCGGCATGAGACAGCACGATCTGCTCAATTGAAGTTTAGTGAAGAAATTCTCTTATTAAATTAATACGATTCAGATAAACCTTGTGTCACGGGGCAAAAAAGGCGAGTTTATGACAGTTAGCTAAGTTATGCTATAAAGTAAGCTTTTATCAATGTTATTTTGAATGGAATCGCTCATCAGGCATTATAGGACTCTCATTCGACTAAAAAAGCCATGAATTCATATCATCACGATAAATCGCGTTGTTTACGGACTGAAAGAAAATCGGGCACAAAAAAATTCCAAATCGACACTTTCATACCTCGACGTTATCACCTTGTTCTCTCGCATTGCCGAATACGTTCATAATGTGATATCGTGTCGATTGAGAATCAGAACGTATGTTATTTGGAAAACAACTCATTTATAAATTTCAACTGACAAAAATGATGTTCTAAATGAACTCACCTTTCGCAAATTTCTTCCTGTAAACAATTTAAATTCAGCTTCCGAAATCAGTATTTTCCCACGACTGTTGCCAGTGCGGTGAGGACGAGGTGAAGACAACCTTTACGGGTTAGAAAAACATTTACCGTACTAGAGACTCATAATGCTCCGGCAGATGAGAGTTTTGTAAACTGTTATTCTGTTTACTGAGAAAGAAAAATTTCTTTCGCCTTTTAAAACAGGTGGTCTTAAAGAAGCACGGCCGGAGAGCAATAGGTCTGAAAATTTATAGTAGAGCGCACGTGATGTCTGTGAAACTGTTATTTAAGTCTTATTTACAGAGAGATAACAAAGTTAAAAAGAAAATATACAAAAATGATAAGCTAAGGACTGTTTAATTGCCATTAAATTCCCACTAACGTTTCAATCAAAACTCACGGCAGATTTTTCAAGATTTCGCAGAACCTTTTCCTTGTACCGATATTTTCATCCTTAGTGCTTATCCGAGCTCTGAAATATGTAATTAAATTTTGACCTCGCCACTCCGCTTTCGAAAGCTTTAAATAACTTTTAAAATTTTTCATGTTTAAATTACTGTAAAAATAAAAACTAGATAGTTGACAGCAAAGTTCTGAAGTGTTACGTAAAGCATATCAACATGAGAAAAAGCTGAATGACACGATTTTGAGCGAAATTTCTTACAGTGGGAGTTATCGAAGTGTCGGAGTCTTTCGCTAAGTTTTATAAAACATTTCGATTTGCAAACTGTTGAGACCACAGTAAAGTCACCTAAAACAAGTGATTTATTCTAACCTGAAAGTTGTCATAAGAGAAAACATCTACTGTTTTCATAGCGCGAACCTCCTGGGGGCACGTTCTCTAAACTTTACGCTTACATTCCTTTGTTAAAAACGGCCTTTCCTCAAGATTGCTAGTTTCAGCGAGATTATAACCGTGTGGTATTACTATTCTAGCTGAACTCACCGCGGCAGGCGAACGTTAGAATGAGTTTATAAGCTTAACAATAAATGATTTAGTGAATTCGTTTACATTCAAAAAGCCGTTTTCCTACCAAAGTGACTTAATTTAGAGATCTTAGTCATATAGTTCATTACAGTTATTGAAAAAAAAGAGGAAAAAAGAGAGATCAAGAACGCTTACTTTTCCCTTGCAAATACGTCCATAGACTCAAAAGGCACTCACTTTAAGGGCTAAGATAATTTCAATTTCCTTAGTTTTTTTAAAAGTATTTTTAGCAGGATTGAAAGGGGGGAGGAGGGTCTTCGTTATTAGAAGCAAATATGACATCATCACTTTCATTCTAAAAAGTTACCCAACACCTTTCATTTCCTCACTTGCAATTGTATACTGTTCTAATACTTTTCCTTATTAATACCACACCCTGAAAAATAGAAAAAAAAAGGCAGTTTCATTACAGAGCTCCCTTTTCTTTGAATGGACATCACCAAGTGTTTGGCAATACCTTGAAAATCATCTAATCTATGTTTTTTTACAGGAGAATTCAAGATAGCAGTTTTGATTGAAGCGCTTTACTCCACGAGTTTGCAACTTGAAGCTATACTGCTTGCGTTGTAATGCTTGTTAACAGTGACGCGGCGATATTACATCCCCAGCGGCGCTTTCTTCCTTTCAGCAGACATATGCTTCGCTAATGAACACTTACAACTTCCTGAATCTCTAACTGTGAGGAAAACAAGAGTCAACAGAAAACAGAAAATAAATCTTCCATGTTCAAGTCTGTAAATTCTAATGTACACTGATAGAGTAATCATTTACTAACGAGTTTATATTTGTCTACTCTGTAACAGCTTTATCACAATTTATCTTACACTTGCCTCGATTAATGGCCCATTTATGTCCAATTCACTTCACATGCATCAATGCTCATTGTGAACACCAGCAATATCAGGCACTAGACTGAAACCAAAGTACTTGATAAAGCAATGAACCAAAGTCAGCAAATAACACGTACGTGATGCGTGAGCTCGATTCAGAAAATTGGTTCTCTGTCAGCTAACTTCTGCGAAACTGCTTCAGAATTTTTCGAAATTGTAAAGAGTTGATGTTTACGTCTGTTTTCATCTCTGTTTGTTTTTCTGTTCTAATTCAGCCTGACAACTGGCAGACTAGATAGTATCTTAACTGACAGCAAAGAGAAAGAAGAACAAGCTGAATATTTATGCTAAGTTTGAAACATTCATTTTTTTTTAGGAAATGTGTCTTCTTCTTTCACTCCAATTACACATTTGAAAAATGCTCGAGAAAGGGTCGAGAGTTTGTTTATTTGTTTGCTCTACGAGTGTTTTAAGTCTCTAGGAAGTCATTTCACTTCAAACGGAACGCACAGCCAATATTTTCGATGAGTCTCTTTGATTACGAATTGCGCAGAATTCATTCCCTCCGAGAAAACTAAAGCCACAAACTGAAGAAAGCCGAAATTCTTGGCAAGAGCCTAATACTACCCCATTTACGAGGAATCAGAAAAAGTTTCGTCAATTTAATTGAATAAAGTTCCTTTCCGGACTGAAAGTTTCCACGCTCAGTCTCCTTTACACAATTGAGTGATGTCAATCATGAATTTTACCATTGAAAATACAGAATGCAATTTAAACTGATCCGCGAATCAAACTTCACCAAAGTTATCAAGCTGCGAACTCACAAACACGCACAAGAGAGACTTAATCTTCTCCTCTGCATGAACAACTATCAAGTAAAAACACTTAGAGTGAGTGTCGTTTTTCCACATAAAAAATATTACTTTCAAAAAAATTAGCACAACGTAATAGACGCATTCGTCAGTTTACCATAAACATTCCATTCCGCTTGGTTTAGACCAATATACTCGTTTTTTAACTCTATCGACGCCATGTCAGCTGCCGGGTTAATTTAATGGAAACCCTTGAGGGCATAATCACTGAATAACAGAGGTGGATTATCTCTCAACTTAATTACTACTGAACTGGGTAATGAAGTGAAGAGACCGCGATATTATAACCTAATGGATATTTTGAGACTTAAACAAACCACGACGGATACTGCAACGCAGACGTGGCAAAACAAAAGATCTAATGAAAAGAACGATAGCTCGGCGACGGCATTTTAAAACTTGTAAGTTTCTTTACCTTCCTCTGCAAAAAAAAACGTGACATCCCCAGAATTTGCGTCCACATAACAGGAACATAGATTGCAAACTACTTAAGTTTCCCTTTGGAACTCACAGCTACTTACATATGTCATGCTGAAGTTTAGGTGGGCGCCCTTAGAAACGGTAAACACATCCAGCCATTTGCGAAATCCTAACTAAAGATATAAAATCATTTTTCGATCAAAATCTTCTTAAGCGTTGCTGTCCTGATTGCCTAAGGTCCCCATCAACTTCCTCACGTCTACTATTCCATGCCATCGAAATGTAAGTAATTGCGCCAAGTTTTTATGCTGACTCTCATATAAACCGTTCACTCCTCACGTAACTTATGCCTCCTACGTGATTGTATCTACCTGCACTTACCTTACGGTAGCATCTATTTAGGAACTGTAGCCTCTGTTTAGCGTGAAAATATGACTGCTTTGTTTGTGTGATTTTCGTGGCCGGTTCTCCATTTTCGTCGCCAGAGCCGTACGATTTCACTTCAGAAGGGCTCTGGGAACGAGAATTGCGCTCAGACAGCTCGCGAAATACAGAGATGCGCATGCGAGAATCCTAACCCGACGTACTCTCGTTATCAAAGTCCTTGTTTCTGATCGTCAGTCATAACGCCGTTTTGTAGGAACATGAACTCGTGCGACATTCCTGAATCACTCGCGTCTGCAATTTCCAAAGCCCTTTTCATAATGTTACTGTGAATATATGAAAATCATATATGTGACCTGCGAATTAATGAATGACTAGGTGAGTGACCTTCGCAGCAATGAACACTACTCAAGCGTTAGTGAAAAAAAGGCCTGAAAAAATTCGGGCTTATACGGGAGTTAACCTACGACCCCTGCGATACCAGTGTAGTGCTCCACCAACTGAGCTAGCAAGCTAATTGAGAGCTGGTCGTTATGATGGTTCGTAAAAAAAACCCGTGAAGTTTGACTGCGAATATATGAAAATCACATAGTGTGATCATCGTAAACTGCGGTTTAATGAATGAATATGTGAATAATCTTTGCAGAAATGAACACTACTTCAGCAGAGGTGAAAATGAAGCCTGTTACTTCTGTGAACTTTAATTGATTCACTGTATATTATCATTTATCAGATAAACTGCAGTGTTATACAGGGATTTCCGGCCTTGAGAAAAGCCGTAACAACACACGTGAAAATATACGATATTTTTTCACGTGCGTTGATATAGCTAATCAGCTGCTGACACGTCACTCGCCTTTGGCGCCACTCGGTCAGGTTGATGAATGAACAGCAAAGCCTTCACGATTCTCAATACAAGTTGTTTGTCAGAGCTTTCTCGAGTAATGGCGGCGAAAACACTTTAAAATAATCCGTATCGCTGATAGACAGTGAGGTTCAAACTTTTCTAGAGGGGGAGGAAAACCACAATACTCAAAAGAAAAACCGAAAGTTACGTATTCAGTGGCTTTGGTGTTGGCATTTCTCTCGGCTGAGAATGAAAATCGACAACTGGAAGATTTGCCACTGACCGATTTTGGCCGTTTACCTGAAAGACTTCTTTTGTCGGTAAGGACAAAGTCAATAAATGAGAATTTTGTAACTTGAAAATTACGATCATTGTTGATTTTGTAATCATTTGTAAACATTTTTTCATCTTAAGAGCGAGTGCCAACGCACTCTACGATTGTTATTCGGGGATTATCGACTCATTTATTTTCATTCATTGATGAAGTCGGCTTTTCCTCTCAGTAAAGGGCTATTCCATATTTACGCGCGCCTATCTATTATTCTTTATGTAATAAGCTCAAATATGCACGCATTCTGATTGGTTCTCACTTATGATCTATTGGAGGACAGACGTATAGATGACGTCATCGTTAAAACTTTTTTAATTCTTGTGGTAAGAGCTATCAGAATGCGTGCATAACTGAGCTTATTATATAATTAACAAATAGATTCCAAGTTGCCGTGCGTCTGTTCAGTAATAGATCACAGATGACGTCAAAATGTGGTAAGAACAAAAAAGTGGCACACGAGGCTCAGCCGAGTGTGTCACTGATGTTCTTACCACATTTTGACGTCCTCTGTGATCTATTACTGATTATATACCATCCACACTAAAAAAAAAATTGTTCGTCATTGTAATAAGTTGGAGTCATTCATTGTAAGTAGCTGGAGACAAACCGTCATTATTTTCTAAATATAGTTATTCCCCTCTCTTTCCATCAGGCCTGCATTCTCCATTTATCTAAGCTTCTGAAACAAACTGGTTGGGGACCAACAAACAAAATAGCAGGCAAGCTCTGGGACGATTTCTCTCGCCCATAGTCCACGTCCGGTTTGAGTTTGTCACTAAGTTTTACCCTACTCAGGACGCGGAAATTTTGTTGTGGTTACTCAAACATATCAATTTCATTTGGCCAGAAGGAAACAGAAAAGACGGCTTAACACATGAATACAAATAAAATTAAAGTCACTTGTATTTATCCACAGTTACTTCATGACGTATCCATTTACTTTTAATAGCAGATAAATATAGTTTGCACTAAATGTAAATTTCTCTGTAGCATTTCATAAAAGAATCATGTCGTTTGTACCATCAAATTCCACAAAATTTCGCTCACAAGACCTCTGCTATTACGTTCTCTGGATGTAACACCCTAACCAGCTCAGAGGAAATCTTGTAAAGGTTCATGGGTATGCGATTCGTTAAGCTTAATTTCCTGCATTACTCACACCAGTCCCTATATAAACGTTCCTCAATTGCGTTGCATTTGCCTCAGAATACACGTAAGAAAAATATCTTGTCTCTAGCCGAATTACATTCCACGACCCCACAACACTCCGTACAATACCCTGAAGAGGGATTGGATGAAGATGGAATTGGGTGGAAGCTAATTAAAAGGCTTCTTATTTAGCTTGAGCGGGTAAACTTTCTCCTGCAAGTCCGGCCAAGAGATTTCTCGCGGCTAAGGTTGCCATAGCTTCTCTAGTGGATTCCTCTGCACTGCCAATATGAGGAAGTATAACTGAAACGAGGAAAATAAGGCACAAAATGACTTTTTTGCTTACATTTTCAATTCCCCCATTGTATGTCATGTCTGTCAGGCATGTGCGAAGGAATCAATTTGGGCCACCCGCACGCCAATTCCCCGCGCAAAATTTCGAAGGATAACAGAAGAAACAACACGTTTCCCGCAAAATAAGCGAAAGAAAATTGAATCCTTCATAGAAATCTGTAAAACGAAACAAAAGAATGGAAAAGAAAAGCTCCCTTCTTTACGAACACAAAGCTTACTTAAGAACGGGTATCTTGTTGATTTCCCATTCTGTTTGAGCTTCACCGAGAGTTACATTCTTCAAAAACACCGTGACTTACTGGCATGTGTGGTTGGTGTAACTCGTGTGAGGCAACTTGGCTCTGACAGCACGAAAGCATGCCACATATTCACTACAACGTTCGCAAATGCGCAAAAGTTTAAGCGCTGTGTTGAAGGGCTTACCATTAGCTTTTTCAGTCTCCAAATGGGGACCAAAATTGAGAAAAATGCGTCGTAGGAAAAGTAATAAAGTGAGAACAGAGAACGTGGTCCCATTTTAAATTTCTAGTAAAGGTAACTTATATCATCATAGATCGGACAATCTCTTTTCTTTTTCTAACTCCCCAAATGCTGAAAAAAAAAAAAAAACAGCTGACAAGATACAACTTCAGTAATTGCGTGTCTTGCTTTTGTTACATCTCTCAATGCCTACATGTTTTAAAATACAAATTTTTTTCTTACCGCAGTTGCTTAGAGACAAAAGCGGGTGATCTGTTGGAAGAGGTTCAGGAACTGTAACATCCAGTCCAGCACCCTACAAAGAACAACAACAAAATCAATAACAAAGGCGTAAATATATAACGAGCTTTCCTTTGAAAAGTTATTTTCCCCTATAACTGATGTACTACTTCCCGCTGAGGAGGAACTTTTTAACAAAAAAACTTGCTATTAAAATGCGGTTTAAGGCATGGCACATTTTGCCGTCTATTCAGAAATGCAAGTACAGCTTAAATTTTATTTAACATTAGAAGAATATGCCCATTCTTCTATAAGACTAACGATGAACCCGCGCAGCATGGATTCGCTCGGCGACTTATCTATGAAAAAAACCCTGGGAAAGGTTTAATTTATACGAAAAAAGCGCAAAGGAACGAAGGACAGACTAAAATGCTTTGAGTGTACTTCAAAAGCAGAGAAACGCACGGCGGAAACGAGGATAGCCAATTCCAGACATACTTTGATTTCTCAAGGCAATCGTCTCATTCAAATCATAGCAGTACTGTTGTGTGGAAATGATATACTAGAGATGTATTCGTACATCGAGCACGACATAACTGTGTACTCTCCCGCCCCCCTCCCATAGTTTTTCATCATATGGCCTGAAAATCCATCGCTACTAATCTAAATTCCTGATTGGTGGGATTGAGAGAGCAGTCTTGCCTAGGAAGAACAATGTCTCAGTCAGAGCTCAGACCCAAACCTCTCGATGCACAATTCAGCGCGCTAATTCCTAGGTCACCGAGTCTCCTGACTAAACAGATGTTTACTCACCCATATTTGTCCACTCTTAAGTGCTTCATACAAGTCCTCCTGGTTTACCACTCCTCCTCTTAATAAAGATAAAGAAATTTGCAAATAAATGATCTCAACAAGTCAATCAAGTTATTTGAACACAATTTCAAACAAATATGGTAAGAACATCAGAGACACATTCGGCTGAGCGTTATCTGTGTTCTATAACTCAACAGAGTCTACAGACGTATGTAATAACATTTGTGAAAAAGACATCGTCCACAGACACTGACAGCTCTTACAACAGAAAGACAAAGCTCCAATGATCAAAACACTCCCTTTTCACCTTACCTACTGGTATTGATAAACACTGCACTTCTTTTCATCTTGGAAAAGACATTCCTATTGAACATTCCTACAAAAAATGGTTTTTTGGCATCTTTGAGAACATCTCTACCTTACGAACTCTAATCTATTGAATGAGACCAACTTCTCAGAACAAACTTTGTAAGAAATATATGGTAGACAGCCACGAGAATTGGAGTAAAACGGTTGACAAATTTCTCTTTTTCTGATTCCTCTGTGATTATTATAGTTTTGGTTTCATATCGACAGCCAAAAAAGGTGCCATTCATTTTTACCTGCTGTTTCATCTGTCAGAGCTGTGTGTGCACTCACAAAGTCGGATTCTTTCAACAGGGTGTCCATGTCAACTGAAATACGAGGATATTACATTCGCGTAAGGCAGACTTTTTTCATAACCGAAAAATAACCCTAACTGCAATTAACCTGTTGAGATTAATTAATGATTTGCTATCTTATCCACCAGCAAATTTATAATTCATCCCAAACAATACCAAACCTACTTGTAGTAAGCAGACATCATTACACTTAACGAAAAGTAAAATCGTACCGTGCTCTGCCTTTGGTGAAACCAATTTTTCCACTGAAATCAAAAGATTTGTTTTAGCTACAGATTGTCTCCAACTGTACATGTACACACTGCAGTATTTCACTCAACTGTATCTGAAACCCATTACATTAAGCATGGAACAAAAGTTGATATTTAATGCAATCACCCAAATTAATTTTAGGTTTTCAGGGTGCGGAGACAGGGGGCTCCCAGCCTCCTGCCTCCCGTACGTTTGTGCCCCTCTGTCTCCCGATACCCACCCTTCATGGTATCAGTCCTGCGATACTTCCGCTTGTAAGGATATGCCAGACTAAGCATTTTTCAAAACCAAAACAAAAAATATAGTCAAATGCCTTTTAAAAAACAAATGTCATACATCACCCCTATAACTTCCAATAACAGCCACGTTTCAACAATACCTTTTTTCTCTGTCCTCAGGGTGGCTGTTATGGAAAGTTCCACAGCTGTAAAGCTACGTTCATGTAAGGAAACGAACGTTAATATATGGTTAAAGTCTTACCACTTTCGGGCTTCTTGTTGACATCACAATAAAGAAATCTAGAGACACCAAATGGAGCTAGTCTTTGTGCCACAGCAATGCCTGCAATTGAGGAGAACACACTGGGATGTGGCTAATCTGAACAATGAATGACAAAACATGGCTCTTATGCAGAGATAATAATTGAAAGATAACTGAACTATCTACCCAAATAATCATATATTATCAGTTCATTTAAAAGGTACAGTAGTTTGGCGCAAGATTTCCGTTTTTTTTTCTGAGATCAGATCAGTAACTTTCCTTTAAAACAGTACTTCATGTCAGTGGTGGATACAGGATTTTTTGATCGAGGAAGGTAGTCAAAACTGTAATTTGACAGAAATTACTGAGTTTTTCTCTACACTAGAGCATGTAATAAGCTAAGAAATATTTCAAGACAGTTAAATTTCAGATATCCAAAGTTGAGTACATGTACTGGCATGATCTATACAATCCAATGGTTGGAAGAATTTTTGTTTCAAATAAGTGGTAAATATACCCATCTGTTTGACAGGAGTCCAGACCCCCCGAATCCTTCCCTTGAATGTGACTGTTATCCACTCAGTTGATCTCCCTTAAGAGTAATCCTCCCTTCGAGCTTTCAGACAATTTCTTTTGAATTAGTTTGGAGAATTAAGTCTTATATTAAGAGAACTTCATCAAGCTGACAAGTTTGTTGCCATCGTTTGGATAGTTTTATGTAACTCAAGCAATTTCAAAAGTTAAATGGTTAGGACCCTTGTTACTCAGATAGCAGTAAAAGTGTAATAAAATAGTATTTGTGTTCTCTGCTACTAACCAATTCTTCCAAATCCAACAATGCCAACAGTACTGCCTGTTAGTGTTCGTCCACACATCCAAAGAGGTTTCCATGTTCCCCATCCTCCACTAGAAAATGTCACAATGAAATAATTTTGATTGCTATTTGTTAGCAGATTTGAAAGGTACTTCAAGCAGGTCAGTAGGTACCCTGTGAGTAGGAATTCTGTGAGTGGGATCCCTGTTAGAAGGATTCCTTGAAGGTCAGTGTAATTTGAAGGGAAGAAGTATTTTAGTTTCCAAGCTTGTGCAACAATTGTGGAGAAAAACTAGAGATTGAAAGGGTTAACGACTGATAATTTTTTAATAAATTTTTTTCTGATCATATGTTGTACCTTAGGGTGCAGGATAATGTAAACCGGGACAAGAATTGTTTTTTTCAATCAGCCTAATCCAAACTTTCACCAATAGCCTTAACTTCTTATAACAGTTGCTATACATAGGCCTGGTTTTTCTCACTTGCATCTAAAAATGTATCAAACAAAGGACTATTCAAGGAAGATACCTCTGTGTGGTGTACTTATACATCTTTATTGGCATTAAAATGGCTAAAGATTGGAAATAAATCAAATTAAAGGAATGGCCTGGGAAAAAGTACTTCAGGAACTTACTTTTTCACCTCTCCTGCAGCCTCAATTAGTCTTCTTTGTGTTGCCAGAAGTAATGCTACAGTCAGGGTGGCCTTCAAAAAGAAATTATGGCATAATGAAGGTAAATAATGACTAAAGAAAGATGTCACTTATTATGTTACAAGAGCTAAATAAACAACAAATGAGTGCTACAAGGGCATTGAGCCCCAGACTATCAGATTTTGCACTCCAGTACTCTATTTTCTCTTGGTTGCTAAACTTTGAGCAGTAATTAAAATGTACACAAATTGAAAACTTGCATTTGAAAAAGGTACCCCTGAAGGACCCAACATGGTATGCTACCAGGTTGGCAGGGGTAGTGTTCACATAAGAGGAAATGTTGGTGGGGATGGTTCCTCCTTTGAAAGGCAAGTATAAGAGGACACCACTTGATCCCAAAAATATTTCACTTTTTCAGCATAAGTGTTGTCAATTAATTGTTGGCAGAATGGACATGAATCAGTTGTTGTGTTGAGATGAGTTTGCAGTTTTGGTGGAAGTGAGTTGAAAGTCTGCTACAAGTCCACAGATAGTACAATGTACTCATGCAGAAAATGAAAGAGTTATATGATGAATGCCACAACCCACAAGTTCTCTGTTTTTTTTTCTTTCCAGGTTGTATCATAAGGAAGTACTCAGCAAAGACCATGAACAAATTGTGGCCTGATATTCAAAGGGCTATCAATCAAAAGTGTAATGATTTGAGGAAGAAACAGACTCAGTGATTATAATTATCCTTAGATACTGTATTTCTTCAAATGAGCACCCCGTGGCTCTAATTGGCACCCTCCCCCAAATAGGCACCAACCTCCTAGGCCATAAAACCAAACAAGCGTGCCTGTCAAATAAGCACCCCCCCTTCTCCCTCTCTTTCTTAAATAGTAGGGATAAAAGGAAAACCTGTTTCTATTACAGCAGCCAAGTTTTTTCTGGAACTTTTTAAGCTTCAAGCACCATGGAATCTGAACATGTTGATAATTTCTTAATAAGTGACCCCCTCGCTTAAGAGACCTTCTCCCAATAAGCACCCCTCCTTCTGGGCAGAATATAAAATAAGTGCCTGGGTGCTTGTTCAAGGAAATATGGTACAGCTCAAAGGTACTTGGCCCTAAATTTTGAATAAAAGTAGTACTTTGTATTTGTTTTATTTATTTAAAATGGCAATTCAAAAAGTGTTTGATTAAGACAATTCAAAAGTTGTGTATAATCAATCTTTATATATTGTTTTGTTTCTTTGTGGCCTTTTTCAATTGTTAAAAGAGGATGACTAATTCTCATATGGCAATAAGAAATATTTTTATCTTCCTTTTTTCAATGTTTGGTTCAGTTTTTCTTTTGAACTTACTATGAGGTTTCTTCTTTTGGCCCTAAACCTATTGTCACCTGTGTTGTTTACACCAAGTTTACATATCAGACCTCTACATCCATTCTTCAATAGTTAACAAGGTTAAGGCTAAGTTCATGCTTCACCCCATAAACCTATCTTTAAGTATCTTCTGATTTTCTTAACAAAATTTTGAAGGATCTACGACATTTTTGCCAAGAACTTTAAGGATCTTCAAAATGTTTGACATGACCTCTAAAGTTTAACAAGATCATCAAGGATCTTGGCAGGAATATGAACAATCCTTGAAGATCTTGGCAAGATAATGTGAGGTCCTTGAAGATCTTAACAAGAATTTGAAAGATCCTCAAATACTTTTCAAAGATCTTTTAAGGATCTTCAAAATTCTTCTCAAGATCTTTGAAGATCCAGGCAACATCTTCAAGGATCCTGACAAGAAAATGAAAAAATTCTTGAAGATCTTGGCAAGAAAATGAAAGTTCCTTGAAGATCTTGGCAAGAAAATGAGAGGTCCTTGAAGATCTTGGCAAGAATTTGAAAGATCCTCAAACACTTTCAAAGATCTTTTAAGGATCTTCAAAATTCTTGTCAAGATCTTTGAAGATCCAGTCAAGATCTTTAAGGCTCTTGGCAGGAAATGAAAGATTCTCAAAGAATCTATCAAGAATTTTGAGGATTCTCAGAGAATTTTCAAAGATCTTTAAAGGATCTTTGAAGTTCTTGGCATGATCTCTGAATAAAATGAAAGATCCTTGAAGATCTTGGCCAGAAAATGAAAGATCCTTGAAGATCTTGGCAAAAATTTGGAAGATCCTCAAATAATTTTCAAAGATCATTTGAGGATTTTCAAAGTTCTTGTCAGGATCTTTGAAGATCCAGTCAAGATCTTTAAGGCTCTTGGCAGGAAATGAAAGATCCTCAAAGATCTTATCAAGAATTTTGAGGATTCTCAGAGAATTTTTAAAGATCTTTCAAGGATCTTTGAAGTTCTTGGCATGATCTCTGAATAAAATGAAAGATCCTTGAAGATCTTAGCAAGAAAATGAAAGATCCTTGAAGATCTTGGCAAGAATTTGGAAGATCCTCAAATAATTTTCAAAGATCATTTGAGGATTTTCAAAGTTCTTGTCAAGATCTTCAATGATCTTGAAAGGAAAATGAAAGATCCTTGAAGATCTTTGCAAGAAAATGAAAGATCAAGAAGATCTTTGAAGATTTTCCAAAGAACCTCATAAAGATCCTTAATAGGATACTCAGGGGTCCTTATGAAGATTTTTAAGGATCCTTAAAGATCCTTCAAATATTTTCACCAGGCGTAATCACAAGTGGATGGATATACAGTACAGCTTAGATGTAGATGACCAAAGCAAACCCAAAAATTTCAACATGTTTTTTGTGTCCTCCATAAAAAAAGGCAAAAAAAAAATCTTGAGGATGTTTTTGCTTTTGTCATTCAACTCACTCAGCTTGCTTTGTTCTGCATTGTTTCAGAAAACAAAAGCTTCTGTCAGCTCTACCCTGACATTTACATTGTCTCATGTAATGTTGAAATGGCCCTGAAGGAGAAATTACACTTCATCTATTTTAACCATTGACTAAATACTTACAGTAGCATCTGTTAGTACACCTGGAGTGTGGCCAACAGCAATACCCCTGAAAATAAAATGTTACCAATTAGATTGGGAAAATTATATTTATTTTGGTTTCTTTATAAAGTATCTAAGCACATTTCAATTGAGTGTGGTAAAATCAAAACTAAAGCTATCACAAGGGCCAATGAGAACAAAGGAAACATAACAAGAGCCAATAAGAACATGGGAAACATCCTAAGGACCCAATGAGAACAAACAAAAACATTATAAGGAGTCAATGAGAACAAAGGAAACATCCTAGGTAGCAAATGAGAAAGCAAACTGCTTGAAGTGCAAGAAAATGCAAGTTGCTTCTAATCATAGGAGGATTCCAAGATGCTCCACTCGAATCTAGTCAAAATCAAATTTATGTTATGTAGCAACCTCACAACATAAGATCACGGCAAAAAATCAAAATGTTTCTTTTTTTTTTTGTAGGAAAGCAACACAACTATGATAGTGCTATATACAAAGTTTTACACACCCTGACTTTAGACTACACATACTACACAACAAAAACCTAACAACTTGCTATATGATTGCAGAATGCAGGTCATCAAATTGGTGACTTTCCATACAAATGTAGCCACAAAAAAATTCTCTTTGGTAAATAGAATAAGAGAGATGGTAACTTTTGACCTCTGTAAACAAATAAAGAAAGAAGTTTTTTTTTTGTTGCAAGCACAGGAAAGAGAAAAATTCTGAGTCCCCACAAGGAATTGACCCCATGCTCATAAGGAAAAAACACCTTTCTCTATTTCTTTACCGAGCTAAAAACTTCCCATCTTTCTTATTCTATTTACAAACATGACACTGTCAACATTGCTGATCCTCGCAGCATGCAGGACGTCTCACTCACCATAGAGTTTCTGTGGCTCAGTGGTAGAGCATCAGAGCACGCAATCTGAAGGTCTGAGGTTTGATTCCTCATTGTGAATTTAGTCCTGCTCTCATGACATAACGATAAAACATCTTTCCCCAATATTTTTCTTATCACTGTGGCAACTAAAATAATTCATTTTCAAGCACTGAATAGATTCTCCTCAGAGAAAGCCTTGTTTCCTGTGAGAATGAAGTACGTTGTCCATTATACAAAACCATCATGTGTTGAACCTACTCTCTTAACCTGGAATCCTCACCTCTTCGTTGTTTCTGGTAAACTGATGTGATCATAACCCACTGACATGGTGCTCACAACTTTCAGCTGAGGTCCTACATTGGATAACAGAGACAAGTACATCTTTCTCACTACTTTTTCAGTTTTCTGTTCAGCAGAATTAACCAACAAGGAAGGAAGAGGAATGTTTTATATATTTTCAATCCATGGGTAAAGCCAAGGGGGTAAAGCAGAGGGGAGCTACAGCTAAAAAGTTTTTCACAAGGTACTGTCAATGTAATGTGAGATTCTTTCTGTACGAACTTATAGATTAATGTCAATATCTAAGTAGCTGCCCACCTACTCCTCCCCTAACCCAACAGAAACCTTGACTTGTTATCAGTTAACTGTTTTTGGGCAAAGGGTGGGTGCAAAGTTGCTTTTTTTTTTTGGGGGGGGGGGGGAAAGGGTCAAAAGCAGTTTCACAAATCCACAAAAGCTATTAACAGAATGTGTACATAATTATTTATACTAAAGAGTACTTCTAACTAATCTAATTAACTCATGGTTAAATATCCCCACACTACAATTTTTATTTTCATTTCTTGCATTCGTTAACCCACCAGCAGTATCCAGCAACTCAGAATCTATTTTTTCCGTAAGAAGGCAGTAAAGTCCATCAAGACCAGCTACTCGCTTCAGGAGTTCATCTCTTGGAATTGGATCTTCTGAGTCCCAATAGTCCAGATCACAGCTTCACACAAGACAAGAAGTTTTTTAATGCAACATACAGCAAATCCCCTAACCCTTAAATCCCAAAAGTTATTAATATATAACTCCTGATAACATTCATACATTATCCAGCAATTTAGTCACAAGAATACTCAAACTCATCAGGTTTGAATTGGTTAACTAGATCTAAAACCAAATTCTTGTAACTAATTTATAAAGAAATGTGTAGAGCTGGAGGGGAGAATTAACAAAAAGATCTTGGGAGTTTCAGACTTAAGCTTTACTTTAGAATGTTTTATGTGTATTAAGAGTGTATATAAGAGTATGAGAGGAGAAACACTCCAAGTACTAAACTTAAGTTAGAATGAATCATTGCAATAAATTATGTTAATTAGTAATTGCTATGTACTGTTTCTTGTCTTTGTTGCATTTTGTTTCACATCATCTTTATGTGATACACATATTAAAAGGCCATATTGGTTCCTCGGAAAAATTAAGATAACTTTTAGTTAGTCCTGAGGAACTATTGTTAGCTCCAAATCAAAATTTTTCCTTCCTACAGCAAAGCAATTCTTTACAAACTAGCCTTAAGAATTAAATGTTTTATAAAGATAAAAATATGCTGATGTGCTTAATTCTGATCTTATTCCCTGTTTTTTTTTTTATCATGTGTAGATAATTCCAAAGAATAACGTGTTAATCTCTTCCATGAGCATAAGAATTTAAGGCGATGGCGCATAAAATTACGAACTTGTGGCCCAGGGCACAATTTATCAGAATTTAATTGTCCGTAGACGACGAAACCTCTGTCGTTAAGTCTTCGCACTTGAAACAAGACAACAATAACTGACTAATATTTCCCCAGAAATAGTAAACACATTACTTTTAAGAGCGAATTAATTCCATATCAATGGAAGAGTAAACAAACAATGACAACTAAAATACTACTATTCTATTCCTGTTGTCTAAAATTCTGTACACGTGTACAAGTTCTAAAGTCAAATTTTGTATGTGTGAAATCGTATTTAAAAGATTTTGTCGGAGAAATCGCTATTCTAGACAAGTTATAAGACGATATTTACCTCTGAGATGACTTGATTATTTCAATAGCAGCTTGAGGTACGTTTCGTGTAACTAGAACCTTTTGTTTTTGTCCGTTTGACATGTTTCGCGCGAAGATCGGTCCTAAAACTTGTCTGCCAACAAAACCACGACACAGCCGAAGAAAAGGTGCGTAAGACATAGCAAAGAAAACACAGAACTGAAACGGAACAAGTACACGAAACCTCAACCACAAAACGGGACGCGATCAAACGTGAAAACACCTTACCCACCCGAAGAACGATGATCTGATGTTTGTAAGACACAGTAGTTATCAGGCGTTCCTTGCACAGGCAGAGTACAATTTCGTAAAGTACTGGTAACTAGTAGATTTCCACCCTGTAGCAGTTTGTGTGGTGCGGATATGTTTATTAATACCTCTTGCATTATAAATAACTGAATTACAGGTCTGGCTAACAAAGAATAATGAACCAAGAACAAAAAATATATAGCTAAAGAAAAAATGGATGGTATCGGCAACCAACAAGCATATCATGGCAAAATAATGGCGAAACTAGTCATGTGCAATGCATAAGGCGTATTTGTTTGAGATAAAGTTCTTAAACCTGTTGGTCGAAGTGCCACGGATATTTGAATTTCTTTCTCTTGGTCTTAATGCGTAACTATATTGAGTATCTACTATGCGACTACATGCACGCCATGATCCTTCTGTCTTTAAGTGATTGTAAATTACTCACTGTCACAGAGATTCCAACCCTCCCGATTTGATGTCTTGCCTCCCGCTCTCCCGATTTTTACCAAATTCTCCCGATTTATCATAAAACTCTGAAAACTAGGGGAAAATTGCTAATCTTTAGAATTTTTGGCGATCTGTCACTGTGAAACACTCATATTATACTTACTTTCTTCGCGAAGAGCATTATGGTATGTTATAACTCAGGCCGGAATGATGTCAAAATTCAGGAAATGGCACTTGAGAGAACCTAAATTTGCAAAATTTCCCGGGGGCATGCCCCCTGACCCCCCTAGAAGCTCGCGCCTTTGGCACTAATAATTACTCCCTATTTTCCATCACATGGGGTTGGAATCTCTGCTGTCAGGGCTTCAGTGTATGATAACAGAATAATTTGAAGGGCGCGCCTTTGCACTTCTTCGATGGCATCTGACAAATAAAGCGGCAAGTTTGAAAACACAACGCACGCATTTTCTAATAATGATCTCACAAGAGATTTGTGGACCAGAATTATATCTGAAGCTGGAACACCGCAGCGTCTAAGCGACCTGAGCGCGAACAGCCTTCGGTTGGCTCTCTTCACCATTAAGTCACAGCGTACCGCTTAAGTCAGATCTTCAGCTATGTAAACCCCGAGCAGCTTGAAGGAACTGACATGCTCTAACAGGACGCCGCCCGTGGCAACTGGCGGACGCTGGTAGCTATTAAAGTGGAGAAAGTCAACCATCATCATTTCACAACACAACAAATTCACTTCCATAACAAATAATCCATCTATTCAGGAAGAAGGTAAGAAAGTTCACCATGCAGAACCATGCAGAGCTGGCCACAGGTAGCTTAGCCCTAAGTAAGGCTGAGGAATAACATGGGAACAAGGACCGAAATACAAAAACACCTTTTAGCGACATGCACGTCAGTCTTCTAAAAAATAATGCGAGTTGCCCACACAATTGACGCGCGTGTCCCAGAGACAGTCCTTTTGGACGATGAGAAGCATACTTTTTTGTGACTGGGAGTTCTATACTTATATCATTTCTTCGCTATTAGGTGCCGCAAAGGCAAAAAATTTCAATGTGTTCTTTCCGGAGGTTGTCAATATAAAATGGATGTTGTTGTCCGTTAAGCATTGTGGTGCATTTTGCGAACTATAAAGGATATTTTTGGAGCTAAACTGTAATAGCCCGATGAAATAAACCAAAGAAAAGCGAGATTGAAACAATCGTACGATAAAAGCAGCTGATAAACAAATAAGAAATAGTTAAGCTTGGACTTCTCTTTCATGTCTTTTAGCGAATGAAAAATAAAAGCCAGCTGACTCGTAAACGTTTGCGTGCTAATTCAAACTGTTTTGTTGTCTATTTTTTCAGTTCATATTTTCCAATTCTGCCCTTCAAAGTGATGATAATGGTAATGCAGTTTATGTCAGTTCTTAGACATAAATGTATTTTGGGCTATAAAAATATTTATGCCGGCGGAAATAAATTGTATTTCTTTTATTCCTACTTATTCATCTCTAGCAAGCGTTTGGTCAAATTAGTTGTCGATTCTACTGGTCACATGATGATTTAACGTTAAATGAAGAGATTTATCCTTCAGTTACATAAAAATTTCTTCCATCTGAATAGTATATCATTATAACGATGCAAATTGCACTCCCCTTTCTGTCCAATTTGTCGCGAAACTGAAGAATATTACTCATCATTATCTTCAAAAAAAAACAATTCAAAACACCATAATAAATTATATTATTTCAAGTTTGGCCATAATGGAGCCCGGTTTAATTTTTCTTCGAAAAAAAGCGAAAATTCGGGAAAACTTTTCTTTCAATTTTTTTTTCTCATTAATAATGTTTCCTCTGAAATCTGCTTCCTTTTGCCGTCATGTAGGGTTAAAAGACCCTGTGGGAAGCCTCGGTGTATTGAATTCGACCAAACAGAATTGCTAAAAGACAACTTGAGAAAATCGTCCATGCAGCGAGAGCAGGTCATGCTTTATTTTCCATGCAGTGTATTTGCTGAACTTTCTTTGCAGTTGTCGGTGCGTTCTTTCAATGAGCTTTCCTTTTTTCTCTGTCAAACTATCAGCCTATTATTGCATACTTTATTTCAAGCCATTACTTCAGTCAGCTTGCAACAGTCTTTCAATAATAGATGCGTGGTTTTTTCGCAAACGTGCGGCAGACGTATATTATAAGTCTGCGTGAGGGCAGACACAAGACCGTTCCTAAAAACACCAATCTTCCTTGCAACTAAAACAGAACTACAGGAGATTACAAGCTGCAATTTAATGCTAGTTTTGTTATTTTGCCAACGCAGTTACATCTCACCCAGATGCTCTTTATACCTAACGTATATTAGATTACATGCTGGCCCCGCGAACCGCCCACTGCAGTGGAAATTTTCGGAATGTGTTGAACCGCATTACTGTGCGATCTACAGGTAAGAAATTTATCTTCAAACGAGTTCGAAAGTCGTTGCGTTGAAGAAAAGAAACACGAAAACTGCGGTTTCATTGGACACTCGGCTCTTCTTTCGTGGAAGTGTTTCTGCGGAAATAGAGTCATTTGGAGTTAAGTTCTAAATTTTCACGAGAGCATATTTCAAGTTCATCATTTCTTTCGGCTTTCGATCTATATAAAGTCGAACCTAGATTATCCGGGTTTTTCTATCATGTAGAAATATTTACGCTTTAGTCCTTGTTTTATAAATTGTGTTGTTAAAAAAATTGGGTTTTTAGCACAAGCTATATTTTTAATTAATAGTAATAAGCAGACTTGATGCCAGCGAGCGTAAGAAAAATTGAGAGTTACACAAACGTTTTCAATCCGGCAGCTAATATTGTTAGTGAATGGCAAAAAAAAAAAGGAAACCGCACGAAGTGTTTTAACCGGATAGGTTTCACAGAAAACGTATAGAATGTTCTTTAAGTTAACTGGTTATGATATTGGTAACGTTGATGAATTTCAACGGAAACGAGTCTGCATCTAATAACAGGTGAAATAAGATTTGCATATTTTCAGCTTTTGTCTGCAATTATGGAAAGCCAGTAGTTAGATGGTGCCAGCTTTCTGCTGAAATTTAATGTTCCCAACTGACGTCTAGGCTAATTTCAGGAATTGAATTTGTTCGACAAAGCCGGCGGAACTTTACATCTGTAATCCAGGAAATTTCATCTTGATTCTGAGTTGCGCCGTATTTCAAGATTATCCTTTTAAAACACCAACTTAATCTCCTGTGAGAGCAAATATTATTTATTGAACTAAGAGTTGGAGTAAGGGTTACCTCTCTTCAATGTTTTTCCTCTGCGACACCGGGGCAATGAAATGGTGAGATTAAAACTTGCCTCGAGAAATTACTTATCAGGGTGCTAGCTAACCATTTTGTGGCATGCACCGCCCTTTTCTTTAACTGGAGTTTAAAGCACCGCTCCTCCATGGCGAAAAGGTGATAACACCCCGTGGCGTTTAATTTAAGCCCAGAGCTTAACCCGCCGAGGTTGTTGAATCGGGTTTACCAGTTGATTATACAACAACACTCCTCACAGCACTACGAAGTATTTTGATCGAGGATATGCACTGTCAGCTAAAAGCTCCTTTCCTAACGTGCGCGTACCTTAGATTTACATTAAAACTTTGTTCGTTGTACTTTATTTGCTCACACAAATCAATTATTTAAATTCCGCCTCTGTATAAAATCTACTCAGCGACATTCTATTTTACTTTCTTAAAATACAGATATTTGAATATGTCCTGGGAATTGACACATTATCACATCACTGCTAGATTGTGCAAAATGCACGTGACTGAGCGAACTGTAACAACTAATTTCCTGTTCAAAATAAAAGTCGAATTCAACTTTCCATAATACTTTTTAAAATTTGAACCGATCTTTCAGAATAACAAAAAAACGGAAAAAAGCAATAAAATGACGTGGTTTCAATCGAAGGGTTAGACGGTTGGCAAACTTTGAAAGAAAAAACTGAGTTTCTGATGAATTCAATCTTGTTTAAGACGTTAGGTTTGATAGGAAATTTAGTGGGTTGGTCTCAACTATTACAAAACTTCCGGGGGGAAAATGAGATATTCTAATGATTTGTAATTAGCGGTCAAATATGACTTCAGAGAAAAACAAAACAAAAACAATTGAATTGCGAAACTTTCCTACTTTTCACTTTCAAGTTAATTTTCTCTTTCTTAGCGTATTTTCCCAATCGAGAAACTTAAGCTGACTTCAAACGTGTTTTAAGCAGCTCTAAAACATTTTACTGCATTTTAAAACTGAGTTGAAACACTGCCCCCCTGAGTACCAGGTTAATGAAGGACTAAAAAAAAACTTTGCTAAAACTAGATGATTCAACGGTTTTAGCTTTCAAAATAAGTTGAATACTTAGGCAAGCAGTTGCTATCACAATTGTCTAGCAGCCTCTTTTCATAGAAGAAAATTATTTTGTTTGATTGGATTTTACACTTTGTAATATTCCCACCGGATATAATGAATATCTTTTGTGACAGTTATTTTCAAATTCATTTCTTTCTCCGTGGCTGGTCCAAAAATTTTACAGGTATCCCA